CAGAAGCTGCTGCTGTTGCTGCTGCTGCTGCAGCAGGAGCTGACAAGCCTACAAGTCGATCAACACAAACACCAAAAACTGACAAACTAACCACAGCTTTTTTTTAAAACCAACTTACACACAACTTCACAATAAAAGGTAGAATTTAAACTGAGCAGAGTTTAACAAAGCTAATCCAAGCGCCACATATGAGGTTATCAAAAGAAAAATCATTCTTTCTTTAATTTCAGGGTGATGAGTCAGTGATCTTGGCACGTACCAGATGGAACTGCTGCATGTGGGGGTTAATGTTGGCGAGCATTGCAAGTTGCTGCGGGGAAATCTGAGGCGGGAACACTCCTCCGCCAACACCACCGACTCCTCCCACGCTGCCGACACCTCCTACCCCTCCACCAGGAGAGGGCACCTGCTTCAGCATGGGGCCCGGCACCTGTAGGGCAGAAGAGTTGGGAAGCATGAGGGCTAGGTGTTTGATTTTGAAGGATTCCGATTCCAATTCCTTGTTTCGATTGCGGTCCCTATCGATTCCCGATTCTTTCAAGACATGACGTGTTTTACATGAGCTAGCTCGGTGCCGTACACAGCTGGTGTGATCAGCCCTGAAAAGCGTTGATCGCAATTTGCAGATCACGTTTATTTTTTACGGAGATCGGCCGCGGATTCATCTTCCGGTCGGCATTCTAGGAATCGAAATAAAAAACTTTGAACGATTCCGGGAAAAACGAACAGTTGGAACCGGTTCCAATCGATGCTTGATGCCCCAACCTGTTGTCAGTTTGATGATGCAAATAAATATTTGATGCAAAAGTCATGAAAGAAAATAATACGTGAGAAGTTGATAAGTTTAACAAATATTTTCATCATTCCAAATAAACAGAGCTGAAAACAGATGAACCACATCACCCTAAATGACTGAGCTGAGAAAAAATTCAACCTCCAAAAAATCCTCCAAGTCTTGAAAGTCTACCGTCTGACCCCCAACAGCTCTAGTCTGGCCTGTTTAGATGCTAACCGCTAACCTGAGGGGACAGGAACTGATGAGGCACTTGAGCACGTAGCCCCTGGGAGGGGTTCATCGGATGCATGCCAGGCTGGTGCATCCCCCGAGAGGGAGGCATCCCGCCTCCACCAGCACCAAACGCTCCATGGCCACCCACCTGGGATGACAACACAACAGAATATTAGGAGTACCGATATTTCTAATATATTTGCGAAAATATTCAAACGAAAATAAAGACCAGTCATAAAAAGACGTGTTTCCACTACACTAAGCTGTTTCTGGGATGGGGAGATGAGCTGGTGGCTTCTCAGCCGCTTTGTCATCCGTCGTCCCTTTCAGAACTTCGCTAAAGCCTCTTTTAGAAAGCAATGCAGCCAATTAGCCGCAAGGCCGAGTCAGCATCAGGGATCCTTAGGGCGTTTATAGCCAAGTCCATTCAGAGGACGGAGAGAGCAACTGTGTGACGTACAAAGCAGCTTTCCATGACCAGAAGAAGCCACATATAGGAGAAAACGACAGTGTTGTGGCAGGAATTCCACCATATTTAGAAGAAGAAGAAGAAACTATCTTTTTTAATAGCGTCTCTCAAGATAAAAACCACGAGGCGCTTCACAAAAACAAAACATTTAGAATATAGAAAATAATTTAGAAAATGTTTAAAAATATATTAAAATGAGCAAAAATAGGCAATTGTAATTAAAAAATGTTAAGAAAGAGAGAGAGTGAACAGGAAAGAGGGAAATCAGTGGATCCTGGGGAAGGTGGAATAGGTGGGGAGAGCAGAATAAAGACAGAGTGGTGAAGAAGGTCATACAAAAGCCAGCTTGAATAAGTGAGTCTTCAGCTGCTTTTTAAAGGAGACCACTGAGTCCACTGATCTCAGGCTCATGGGGAGAGAGGTCCAGAGTCTGGGGGCCACAGCAGCAAATGATCTGTCACCTTTGACCTTTAGCCTGGTGCGCTGCACAACCAGTAGACTTTGATCACTGGACCTCAGGGACCTGCTGGAGGTGTAGGGACTAAGAAGATCACCAATGTAAGATGGTGCTTGTCCATGTAAGGCCCTATAGACCAGAACCAGGATCTTGAAATGAACCCTGAAGTTGACTGGCAGCCAGTGAAGCTGGAGGAGAAGCGGGGTGATGTAGGTGTGTTTGGAGGACTTGGTCAGAAGCCGAGCACAGGCGTTCTGAACCACCTGTAGACGGTTCAGGGAGGTTCTGCTCAGAGAACCACTCCAGAGCAGATCCTGATAGGTCTACCCAGTCTCTCAGCCTCTCCAGTAGCAGGTGATGGTCAACAGTGTCAAAGGCTGCAGTCAGGTCCAGCAGGACCAGAACAGAACAGTCCCCTGCATCACTGTGGGTCAGAAGGTCATTAGAGACCCTAAGAAGAGCTGTTTCAGTAGAATGAGCTCTACAAAAACCTGACTGGAAGCTATCATAGATGTTATGTTCATCAAGAGCAGCTGTGAGTTGTTTATCCACAACCTTTTCCAAGATCTTGGAGATGAACGGAAGTTTAGAGATGGGTCTGAAGCTGCTATGGAGAGAGGCGTCGAGACTCGGTTTTTTAAGAAGCGGGTGGATTACAGCGTTCTTAAAGTAAGCAGGGACCTGACCAGAGACCAGAGAAGCATTAGTTAAAGATGGGACTTAAAAGTCCCATAGTCATCATCACTCACTGGTGAAACTATATCTCTGCATTTGACCCACCCCCATGGATGGGAGCGGTAAGCTGCAGCTGCGGCTGTGCTCGGGTTTAACCCCCCAATCCAACCCCTTAAAGCTGAGCGTCAAGCAGGGATGCATTGGGTCCCATTGTTAAAGTCTTTGGAATGACCCGACTGGGATCTGAACCCTGATGTCCCAGTCCCAGGACGTACTCCCTACCACGAGGCCACTGAGAAGGTTTTTTCCAGTGTTATGAGTTTAAAAACAGCCATTTTAAAGCTACGGAATAGCTGCTAATGCCTTTCCTTCACTATCAACTCTTCCAATTTCACAAATGCAAGTTGTTTTAGTGATGTCAGCCAACCTCATTTCCTACCGAGTTACAACCAATCAGCATGAGGTAAGGGTTAGGGCCTTTCTGATTACGTAGCCCAGTTCTGCTACTCCGCTAGTTCCTGGAATGACCCGGCCAGCCCGGTGAAATAGAGACACGCACGTGCCGCACGACTCCGGTAAAATGAGCCGGAGGTTCAGACGGCTGAAACTAACGCGTACCTTTTCACCGTAGATCCCCATGTCAGCAGAGCCCATATCTTTGGAGCTTGGCATGCGGTACCCTCCACCTCCTCTTCCACCCCTCCGCATCTCTCCGTTATAGTCGGTTATTCCTCTCTTGTCTCCTTCCATCTTTTTGTCAACACCTGGCTCATCTCCCTAAAGAGCAAAATCACTTACTTTCACCACTTTATATTAAATGACGATTTGTTTGACAACGTACGAAAGCAGCTGTTTATGATAACAACAGTAAGTGATTATCATACCATGAGCCCCATGTTTGAAAACTGCCGTGTCACTGGATTCATCCAGCTGTCTCCTGGTCCACTCTTTAGAGAAGAAACCAACATTAAATCCCATCAAAGCGAGGCCGAATCCGACCAGAATCGCCCTTCTCACCTTGATGTTGCTTCTTTTTCCTCCGTGAGTCTGACCCCATCCTCCGGAGTTAAAGGACGAGCCACTTCCCTGGGAGCCTGTGCTGTTCCAGACCCCTCCACCGCCATCATCCTCCTCTTCCCAGCTGGAATGCCTGGAGGCTGCAATAGGGATGTCCCCCTTCCCGCCCCAGCTTTCAGCTGATTTAGTGCCTGCAAGAAAAGAAAAAACACGATTTCTTTGATTTAAAACTTTTGGTGCGAACAAGCGTGTCTTTTATAAGTAAAACTGCAACTAGAGTAAAGAATCCGCTGGTGTTCCGGTCACGTGTTTACCAGGTTTTGCAGGGTTTGGAGAAGAGTTCCTCCAGCCTGATGATTTGTTGGGATCCTCTGGTTCCCCCCAACCTGCTGCTGCATCCAACGCCTGCCCCCAGGCAGCAGTACCGTTATCCACAGACTGGGCGCCTCCCCACATGCCTGGAAGGGAATTCGACACTGGGTTGAAAAGCGTGTCGTAAAACAGTTAGCTGCCTTTGTGATGGAAGTACAGCGTACGCTTACCCACTGCACCACTGCCCGGGTTTGAGTTGGTGCTGAGCTGCATCCCTTGCTGCCTCCGAGGAGGTTGCTGCTGCATCGGCGGGCCCTGCTGACCGTGGTTTTGGCTCGCTGTGGCGCTGTTCTTGTCCCACAAGTTCACGTTCTTGTTGGTGTAACGTGTCGGGTCTCCCCACAGCGTCGTGCCGTCATCTATTTCCATTTTACGACTGATGGACTGGGGGGAGGGCTCTTCCCAGCCACTGGGCTCCAGGGAGTCACTCCCGCCCACAGAGATTTGGGGAATTGGGCCGGAGGTCCAGCCCATGCTTTGGTTCTGATTCTTTGAAAGTGGACCTCCACCGCTTGGCCGACTGTTCCACCCTCCTTGTGTGGGTCCTCCCGGCGGATGCTGGCCTTGTGATTGCTGCTGCTGTTGATTTTGGGCTTTCATTGGTGCCGCTGGGCTGTTTGGTATCGGTGCTGCTGCTGCTGCGTTGGGTTTGGCACCCCCCCATTCCTGGTGGGACTTGCCTCCGCCCAAATCTCCTCCTTCCCATCCTCCTCGTTGAGAACTCCCTTCATCCAAAGTCCCCCAAGAGGATCCCTCCTCAGAGTTGACTCTATTTCTTGCATCTCCCCAGCCTCCAACAGAACTAGCGTCTCTCTGTCCCCACTGGTCTCCACCTCCACTCTGTCCTCCCCACCCACCCGTCTCTCCTCCTGAAGACCCCTTCCACCCTCCTGCTCCCTTAGTCTCTGGACCATCTCCCCACCCACTACCTTGTTCTTCGTAGTCCCTCCAGTTCTTTCCTCCTCCTCTGCGGTCTCCCCACTGCTGGTCTTCACTCCTCCACCCTTTGCCATCCTTTTCAGGTGGGAGATCACCCCACCCACCAGCTGTCTTCCCCTGGACATCGCCTTCTGATGGCCCTGCTTTTCTGCCGGTGCTACTCGGCGTAAACGAACCACAGGTGGGCTGTGAGCTACCTCCATCCCAACCATCTCTGACCGTGGCAGATTCAAGGTTTATACCGGCCGTGTGACTACCAGAATCGTGAGAGCCAGAGCCAGCCTCGGATGGATACAGAGAACTCGGATTAGTGCTAGCGGTCACAGTTGCTGATGACGAGTTTCTGCTTCCTGCTCTTGTTTTGGTGTTCAGGTCCCAGGCCACGTTCTGCCTGATCTGGGTCTGCCCCCAGCCGGTGTTGGACAGAACCCTGGGGTCCAGGTCAGATCGGCTGAGCATGCTAAGTAAGGCCACTTCAGCATTGGAGGACTGTTGGGGAGGATTGAGTGTGGACGAGGAGTGCTCCTTTTGCCCACCTCCAGCTGTGGATCCGCCTCCACTAGAGGATGAGGGTCCTCCGTCACTTCCAGCTGTTCCACCCTGCCCTCCAACTGGCCCGTCCCTGCTCTCCATCCCTTTCTGATTGTCCCAAGCTTTTGTCTTAGTTGCAAAATGTGGCGAGGCAGCGTCGTCGAGAGAGCTGCCTCCTCCGCCGTCTGCACTGGTGCTGCTTCCATCAACGCCTCTTCCACTTCCTATTGCTAAACTCTGACTTCCTCCGTCTGCTTCTGAACTGCTTCCTGCCCACTCTCCCTGAGATACCGCTGCGGTGGCTGACACCCCACCATTTCCCTTGCCCCACCTCGTCTTGTCATCCTGACCACCAAACCCCCAAACACCACCTTCCTGCCTCTTAGCTCCACCCCACCCATCCGCACCTGCGCTGGGTTCAGAGGACAATGGAGGCATGGGTCTCCATGAAGACGAAGGAGCGGAGGAGGAAGACGAGGAGCCCTCTTCTTCACCAACAATCCCACAGTTTTTCTCAGCATCACCTTTTTGATTTGGTCCCGCTTCTCTCGGTCCCCCTCCCGAAACTTGATCCAACCCCGGGTTTCCTAAGTGCTGCTCTCCGTCCTTGGCTCCCACGGTTGTGTCAGTGTGCTGCTGGTAGGGACCGGTTTGATTCACAGATGAAAGTGTTTGAGTGGCGATGAGAGTGGTGCTGGCAGAGAATGAGGAAGTGATGGACGAGTGGAGTGGAAAGCTGTCGTTCGCTGAAGTGGACGTCGCGCTCTGTCCCAGGGCGGGCCACGCAGACGGATTAACGCTAGGGTTGAAATTGGCACCAGGGACATTGCTGTTGCCACCCACAGGGTTCTCCTGAGGCCCAGAAGGAAGAAGGGAGACTTTGGAATTGTGAAATGTTGCCTCCGTTTGGGACGAGGTGGACCACACGCCACCACCTGACTGAGCACATTCATTAAGTGTGGAAGAGGAGGAGAGAGGAGTGGAATGAGTTGGCGAGGGATTGTCCATGTCCCCTCCTCCTCCCCCGGCTGCACCCCCCCTCTGCTGCATGTTTCCCTCACCCCATGAGGCACTACTGTTGTTACCAGGACCGTCCTGCTGCTGCATCCCTGTTCCAGCACAGTCAGAGCTCTGTCTGGAACCGGCTGTGATGCAAGGCCAGTCCTCCAGGTCAGTCCCCTCCACAATCACCCTTCCGCAGCCCTGAGAAGGGGGCTGGCTGCTCGAGCCCGCCCCCCATGTGGAATTTGCATAAGTTGAAGTAGAAGAAGAAGACGACTGAGCAGCGACACATGACGAGGATGAGATGGGGGGCGGCGGGGAGGATGAGCCCAGGTTGGAATCTGAAACAGAATCACCACCATTAAGTCCATTTGCAACCATCACCACCCGAGTGTTGTCTTGTTCACGGGCTTCAGTAGAACGCTTCCTTCGGCCGTTTTCATGCTTAACTGGTTGCTGCTGCCAGTTACCTTCCTTAAAGCCACAAAGCTGCCATTCAAATTTAATAAAACAATCTCCAAACAGCTGATTGTGTCTGAAAACAACATCCAGCCTAAACAGTTCAGACTGACACTGATAAAAGTCTAAGTTAGATTTATTCGACAGCAGAAGAACACGTGTGAGGATTTACTGGCCAGATCATTAAAACACGGTAGCCCACCTGCATGTCCAGCTGTGTTTGTAATGGGATCATCTGCACCCTGTGAGGATGGGGCAGCATCCCAGCCACCGCCTTCTCCGGCATCCCCCCCTCCCCCTCCACCCAGCAGCATGGAGGACAGCGGCGGCTGGCCCCTCTTCAGTAGCACTTTGTGGTCCTGCTGGCAGCGGAACCTCGGCGGGACTTCTCTCGACATGTATCTCTGCTGCTGGGAGGCTTGACTTCCAGAGGGAGAGGAGGAGGGCTGTCCGTTGGCCACAGCAGACCACTGCTTCGCATTGTTCCCGCCACCAGGGAGGACTTGGGCGGAGCCCCCACCTGCTGCACCAGGACTGGGGGATGAAGGGGAAACGGGGCCAGGGCTGGGGGACACCAAGTCTGGGGTGGAGAGTGGCTGGGAACCGGAGGGCTTGGCTGACTCTGGCACTGAAAAGCAAACAGGTGAAAAACGGTTAAGTCATCCATCACGATAATGGAAACCTGAGCGTGGCTCACATTTAGAAAACCTGTGGGTCTTTAATGTGAGCACATCAAGGTGGTGGGCTACTTCTAAAGCCCGTCTGTGTGTAAAAGTCGTGAATAATCCCAGCTTACCTGCCTTCCTAAAAGGAAGCAGGGATAAGAGGTTGTCCTTTCTTTGCTCCGAGTGATTATTTAGATTTGTGAAGAACATTAGATTTGACCATCTAATGGCAGTAACAACGTTTCTGACGCAGGAATATAAATCTGTTTGTTTTAGGACTACAGGAACACTTTGGTCTCAGCTGCATTGTGGCGTCATGCTGGGGCCTCTACTCTTCCTCCTCTATCTGCTTCCTCTTCAGCACATTCTGAGCTCCTTTTAAGGAGTCTCCTACCATCTTTATGCAGATGACATCCAACTGTACATCTCCTTTAAGCCCCATGAGATGTCTAAGCTGCAGCTGTTACACACCTGCTTAGACTATCAAAACCTGGATGGCTGGGAGCTTTCTACAGCTGAATGAAGATAAGACTGAGATCCTCATCTGTGCCCCAGACAAGCTGGTTCCCAAAGTCAGAGACTCTCTTGGTCAGCTTGCTTCTCACAACAAACCTTCTGTCAGGAATCTTGGTGTGACCCTTGACCCAGCTCTCACCCTGGATTCTCATGTCAGTTCTCTTGTTCGCTCTTCCTTCTTCCATCTCAGGAACATTGCTAAGCTGAGTCCCATTCTGTCCCGCTCTGAACTTGAGACAGTTATCCTCACTTTCATCTCCTCACGCTTAGACTACTGTAACTCTCTTTTCACGTGTCTGAGCAGAACCTCCCTGAACCGTCTGCAGGTGGTTCAGAACGCCTGTGCTCGGCTTCTGACCAAGTCCTCCAAACACACCCACATCACCCCGCTTCACCTCCAGCTTCACTGGCTGCCAGTCAGCTTCAGGGTTCATTTCCTGGAACCGCCCAAGGCGCTTTAAAACACAACCAGTCATTCACCCATTCACACACACATTCACACACTGGTGGGGATGAGCTACGATGTAGCCACAGCTGCCCTGGGGCGCACTGACAGAGGCGAGGCTGCCGAGCACTGGCGCCACCGGTCCCTCCGACCACCACCAGCAGGCAACGTGGGTTAAGTGTCTTGCCCAAGGACACAACGACAGCGACAGACTGAGCAGGCTCGAATCTGCAATCTTCTGATTACGGGGCGAGCTCTTAACTCCTGCGCCACCGTCACCCCACCGCATTTACACCCAAAGATGCTCCATCGGGTTGAGATCTGGTGACTATGGGGGCCGTTGTAGTACAGTGAACTCATCGTCGTGTTCAAGAAACCAATTTGAAATGATTGACTTTTTTGACATGGTGCATTATCCTGCTGGAAGTAGCCATCAGAGGACGGGTACATGGTGGTCATGAAGGGATGGACATGGTCAGAAACAATGCTCAGGTAGCTCGTGGCATTTAAACCATGCCCAGTTGGCACTAAGGGGCCTAAAGTGTGCCAAGAAAACATGCCCCACACCATGACACCACCACCACCAGCCTGCACAGTGGTAACAAGGCATGATGGATCCATGTTCTCATTCTGTTCATGCCAAATTCTGACTCCACCATTTGAACGTCTCAACAGAAATCAAGACTCATCAGACCAAGCAACACTTTTCCAGGTGTTTTAGTCAGTAGATTGTTTTAGACTTTTATCAACTTCGGGTTTTTTAAGAACACCTTCGGTTCGGTAAAACTTTTAATATAGGTTTTACCAGGTGTTTTTATAGTTGATAATTTGTGATGTTAACCTTTGAGAGAGTTCGGTTTGTTTTTGGCATTATCTTTATAATGCGCCATCTGTTTGCTCGTTTTTAGAACCTTTTGCTACAAATAAAACCATTTTAAACTCCACCGTCATCTTTCTTATGTTACACCCTCCTTCGCATTTTAACAACACGTCGGGGACGTAACATATATATATATATATATATATATATATATATATATATATATATATATGGTCACGAGCTTTGGGGTAGTGACCAAAAGAACGAGATTGCAGATACAAGCAGCTGAAATGAGTTTTCTCCTGAGGGCGTGCGTCTACAGCGCCGCCACTGAGCCCTCAAAAACAAAGAGAGCCGAGGATATCTAGCGGCAGACATGGTGAAGCTTGAAGAGTACCTTGAGGAGAAACTCTAAAAAATATGAATGTTTTACTTCGTGACTGGAGGAGTGAAAAGAGTGTTTTATTTGTGGACGGTGTCGGTACAGGATCGGCTCGGGGTCCTTCGACTGCCGATGACGTCAAAGTACGGCAAACCCACTCGGACAAAATACACTACACATCTATACTGTTGGAAAGAATTTAGCAGTTTCGTTATTAAAATAATGTTTCTTAAGATGTAAGTTTGTGTTTATAATGGTATTTGTATAATAAAACACTATATTGTATTCATAATGTTGAACTCCTCTTTGAGCACTTCCCTTGAAGAATCATAGGTATTAGCAACACCTGTGAAATTGTATTTGCAGGAAAACAGTGTGTCCTGTTTATTGAAGTATTTTGTGTTTAGAGTTTTTGACGTCTTGTCCATGCGTAGTTCAGGTACGCTCATAGCTGCTAGCCGAAACTCTGGAGTTAAAAGTTTTCTGGCTTTACTAAAATACCTGTCTGTACTTATTTAATTGATGGTAGTTTTACTTTCTATTAGACTCCAAATGTAATCATTTGGCACGTTTCTAATTCATAATTTGTAATAATGTAATCAGTGATATTAGCATTAGCATTCCTATGGGTTTTTCCATCTATATTAGCATTGCGCTAACCACTCGCTGCCAAATTGTAGCCTTTGCGATTAAAAAATCTCCTTTTGTCACATCGCAATTTAATTGCACATGCAATTAATCGTTCAGCCCCAATATACATGCAGCTCTATGCTAAAAGTGTATTTTCAAAGAGGTAATGATGGATTTCTTTGTAAAAATTGTCCATCTTTCCAACAGAAAGATTTGCCTGGACCAACGTAACGTGATAACGTTATGCGATTACGTAATTCCGTAAGGTTCACGTTCAGCCAATCAACTACTTTGACGTCATCGGCAGTCGAAGGAGCCCGAGCCGATCCTGCACCCGAGCAGATCCTGTACCGACACCGGAAATGACGGGAAACGTGGGACGCTGAGACCTAAAGGAAGACCCAGGACACGCTGGAGGGACTACGTCTCTCAGCTGGCCAGGGAACGCTTTGGGATTCTCCCAGATGAGCTGGGGAGAGGGAAGTCTGGGCCTCTCAACTTAGGCTACTGCAACGCGACCCAACTCTGGATAAGTGGTTGAAAATCTCTCTCTCGCTCTCTCGCTTTTGTGAAGCGCCTCATGACTTTTATCTTGAGAGGTGGTATATCAAAGATCGTTTTCTCCTGCTGAGGTGATGGTGGAGCTGGTTCTTCTGGACGACCATAATCACCCTGAAAATGAAGCCAGCAGCTTTCAGCTGCTCCGATACGATTATCGTTATCGTCAGGATGTCGGAAGGTTGCAGGCATGAGCCCCGCTTGGTCTGTTCCCATCGTTGTGTCTTCGGGCAAGACACGTAACCCACCTCGCCTGCTGCTGGTGGTTGGAGGGACTGGTGGCGCCATAAGGCAGACTCCCCTCTGTCAGTGCGCCCCAGGGCAGCTGTAGCTACAATGTGGCTCATCACCACCAGGGTGTGAATAGGTGAATGGTCGTGTTGTAAAGCGCCTTGGGAGGTTCCAGGACTCTAGAATGCGCTCTATCAAATACAGGCCATTTATTTCACATAATAACATTTTGAGCAAAGCTTTAAATGAACACGTCGCTTTTATAATCAAGCTAAGAAGTCAATCTTTAACTCAAATCTCTTCTGATTCTGTGTGATAAGTTAGCTAAAAGCGAAGCTAACGCTAACTCCTCTCCTCTCCGTTTTGACCAAGCTTTTAATCCAGACCACCAAATATTTTCTAGCGGTTCGAGCACCAACACATCGTACCGAGTTGTGTCTTCCTCAGCTTATAAAAGTTGTTTAGGTGTTGTGCTATTAACTGTGTTTGGTGTTGAATCTTCTGGAAGCCTGCGTTGGACCTCGCTTCTTTAGCTCACAGCTACCCTCCTGTAATATCACACACGAGAGTCTGCAGCACTCAAAACATGGTCAGTCGTTCACTGTAATGTGTGAAAACCTCAGATTGTTTAGAAAATCCCTGAATTGTTGGATCACATCCATGTATTTAGAGGAAATTCTATTCAGCAGTTTGCATTTTCTGCACGATAGAAACCTCAGAGCTCCAGTTGGCCCTGAGGGAACATAAACTGTCTGCTTGGATCCGGAACGTTCAGGAACCGAGCTACAGTTGGTGAGACAGAAGTCATTCATGACTTTTACACAGAGAAAGGCTTCAAACCGGCTCAAATGTCATCTTAACACCCAGAAACAAACTTTATGATCAACAACACGTTGATCATGGCGTTTGCTGCCATTCCTGACGGAACCAGTTTTAAACAAAAAGTCGACTCGTACCTTTGATTTTCTGTTCTGGCACCTAGAAGAGAAGAGAAGGAGCAAACATTTGAGTTAAACACACTTTAACAACAAGACCGGCATACTTTCACTTAAGTTAAAGAAATAAACCCCGAGTCTATTTTCCCTGGAGCATTGCTGCACCTGATAAACACAAGAACAGCACGGCTCAAGCATGCAGAGGAGTGGAATTCATTTGTGAATTCTTGTGAAGCTCTGAGCAGGAATGGTGAAGCGAACGCAGAGTACCTGAGCCAGTTTCAGACCAACTTAGCATGCATGCCTGCATAAGTAATTAGCTTCCTTCATTCTTAGGCGATGTATTTTTAACATCTTTATCTGAGTTACAGGAAATCCCAAATGGCCCTTTGATTACTTCTACGGTCTGACTGTCAGCAATAAATAAATAAATAAGTAAATAACCTTCTGAGAGGTTTCCCTTTTCTTTTTCTCTTCTTTCTTCTTTTTCTTGTCTTCCATGAACTGCTGTTCCCCTTCTTGATTCTCCTGTCTGTGAAAAGCAACGTACACATTCAATTATTTATGCTATTAAAGCCCCACAGAATCACGTTTGGCTGCACTCGGAACAGACGCGTGCAACTATTTTATGCACGTCTGAATGCACGTTTTCACCAGATCCATGGATGTCAGTTATAAGGAGTGTAACATTAACCAGGGATGACAGGCCTCGGTAGGCCGTCTTCTCACTGCATAATTCATTGACCAGCAAACCATTGTGATTCCAGCTGGCAGACAACACGGGCAGAAGCCAAACAAACACACAAGTTCAAACATTTCTGCAAAAATCAAGTTCTCTTTTCATTGGTGCAGAGAACGCATTAGGAGCATAACCCAGAGGTCACCCTAACCCTAACCCTGACCACGTGAGCCAGAGGCAAACACTTGTTTTACATCCTCAGAGCTAATCTTACATCCGGACATAATATTGTGCAAGAATAAAAAAGATGCAGCATGTATTTAAGACACGAGTGTTTATGCGGACAGCGATGTGATCTGAGATTTCGGATTTTATCGAATGGTGGCGTGATTTTCTACGGGGCCAACTAAGCTGCACGTAATTAGCACGGTGTCGGGGAGCACCGATGAAACGTACAGGATGACTTCAGAAGAAGAAGAAAATATCATTGCTATAGCACCTCTCATGATAAAAATCAGGAGGCGCTTCACAAAAACAAAAAATGTAAAAATATAAAAAATAATTTAGAAAATGGTTAAAAATATATTTAAAATGAGCAAAAATAGACAATTATGATTTAAAAAATGTTAAAGACAGAGAGTGAATAGGAAAGAGGGAAATCAGTGGATCCTGAGGAAGGTGGAATAGGTGGGGAGAGCAGAATAAAGAGAGAGAGGTGAAGAAGGTCATACAAAAGCCAGCTTGAACAAGTGAGTCTTCAGCTGCTTTTTAAAGGAGACCACTGAGTCCACTGATCTCAGGCTCAGGGGGAGAGAGGTCCAGAGTCTGGGGGCCACAGCAGCAAATGATCTGTCACCTTTGGTCTTTAGTCTGGTGCTGCACAACCAGTAGGCTTTGATCACTGGACCTCAGGGACCTGCTGGGGGTGTAGGGACTACGAAGATCACCAATGTAAGATGGTGCTTGTCCATGTAAGGCCCTAAAGACCAGAACCAGGATCTTGAAATGAACCCTGAAGTTGACTGGCAGCCAGTGAAGCTGGAGGAGGAGCGGGGTGATGTGGGTGTGTTTGGAGGACTTGGTCAGAAGCCGAGCACAGGCATTCTGAACCACCTGTAGACGGTTCAGGGAGGTTCTGCTCAGACACGTGAAAAGAGAGTTACAGTAGTCTAAGCATGAGGAGATGAAGGTGTGGAGAACTGTCTCAAGTTCAGAGCGAGACAGAACGGGACTCAGCTTAGCAATGTTCCTGAGATGGAAGAAGGAAGAGCGAACAAGAGAACTGACATGAGAATCCAGGGTGAGAGCTGGGTCAAAGGTCACGCCAAGATTCCTGACAGAAGGTTTGGTGTGAGAAGCAAGCTGACCAAGAGAGTCTCTGACTTTGGGAACCAGCTTGTCTGGGGCACAGATGAGGATCTCAGTCTTATCTTCATTCAGCTGAAGAAAGCTCCCAACCATCCAGGTTTTGATAGAGTCTAAGCAGGTGTGTAACAGCTGCAGCTTAGACATCTCATGGGGCTTAAAGGAGATGTACAGTTAGATGTCATCTGCATAAAGATGGTAGTAGATTCCTTTGAAGGAGCTCAGGATGTGCTGACGAGGAAGGAGATAGAGGAGGAAGAGCAGAGGCCCCAGCACGGAACCTTGTGGGACACCATGGGTAAGAGAGGTGGTGGAGGAGGACCTAAACTTGGAGACAGCCACAGAGAAGGAGCGCTCAGAGAGATAAGAGGAGAACCACTCCAGAGCAGATCCTGATAGGTCTACCCAGTCTCTCAGCCTCTCCAGTAGCAGGTGATGGTCAGCAGTGTCAAAGGCTGCAGTCAGGTCCAGCAGGACCAGAACAGAACAGTCCCCTGCATCACTGTGGGTCAGAAGGTCATTAGAGACCCTAAGAAGAGCTGTTTCAGTAGAATGAGCTCTACGAAAACCTGACTGGAAGCTATCATAGATGTTATGTTCATCAAGAGCAGCTATGAGTTGTTTAGCCACAACCTTTTCCAAGATCTTGGAGATGAACGGAAGTTTAGAGATGGGTCTGAAACTGCTATGGAGAGAGGCGTCGAGACTCTGTTTTTTAAGAAGCGGGTGGATTACAGTGTTCTTAAAGTAAGCAAGGTCCGGACCAGAGACCAGAGAAGCATTAATTATAGAGAGCACGCTGGGACCGATGGACAGAAAAGCACTTTTAAACAAAGATGAGGGTAAGATGTGGAGGGGGCATGCAGAGGTCTTCATAGAGTTAACTAGTTTGGTTAACTCAGGCAAAGAAACAGGAGCAAAGCTATCTAGGATGATGGGCCTGGTTGGAGTCTGGAGAGGCGGCGATAAGGCTGAAGAAGAGATGCTAGATCTAACCTTATTGACTTGTTCACAAAGAAAGGCAGAAAGTTCTCACAGTCTGCAACAGAGTGGATGGAGGCTGTAGGAGAGGCAGGAGAGACGATGCTGCTGATGGTGTTAAACAGCACCTTGGGGTTCCCTTTGCTCTGGGACACCAGGTTGGAGAAATAGGAAACCCTAGTGTCTCTGACTGCAGAATTGAAGGATGTCAGAAGATTCTTTAGGTTCAGCAGATGGACGTGGAGATGGGTTTTCTTCCACAAACCCTCAATGTTTCTGCATTGGCGCTTCAGGCTGCGAAGGCTGTCATTAAACCAGGGAGTAGGGTTCACTGCAGGAACTGATCTGGTTCTCAAAGGACAGATGTTGTCCAGAATGGAGAGGCAGTGCTCGTTAAACTGAGAAGTTAAGGAATCTGGGTTGTTATCAGAAGAACAGGGTGGATCAAAAGCAGCAGAAAAATTGCTAGCTGTGCTCTCATTAAGAAAACGAGAACTAACCATATGGCGAGCAGGAGGTGGGGACGCAGAAACTGACAAGTTAAAGAAAATGCAATGATGATCTGAAATATAAACATCCTCAGGACAAACACTGTCAGCATTTAGACTCAGGGTAAAAACAAGGTCTAGAGTGTGCCCCCTGGTGTGTGTGGGGCCAGAAACATGCTGGGTAAAGCCGAAGGAGTCCATAAGGCTGGAGAAATTCATGGCAAAGTGATCAGAGGGATCATGAACGTGGATGTTAAAGTCACCAACAATCACCAGTCTGGACAGCTTCACAGTGGAGGATAGAAAGTCACTAAACTCCTGAAGGAAAGAACTGTTTGGACCAGGTGGACGATAGACCACAGCACAGTAGAACAGGTCCTTACGCCTGACTTTAACCAGCTGCAGTTCAAATGATAAATGACCCGCACTTGTATAGCGCCTCTCAGGGTAAGGACTCCAAAGCGCTTTACACTACAGTGTATCATTCATCCATTCACACACACATTCACGCACTGATGGTGATGAGCTACAATGTAGCCACAGCTGCCCTGGGGCGCACTGACAGAGGCGAGGCTGCCGAGCACAGGCGCCACCGGTCCCTCCGACCACCACCAAAGGAAGCAAAGTGACCAGAGGTTGTAGAGCTACATGGAAGATGGTCTCTGAAAACAACAGCTAGGCCTCCACCACGACCAGAACCCCGGGGCTGGCTAAGAAAAGAATAACCACTTGGGCAGAGTTCAATCAGACCAGAATAATCAGATGTTTGCTGCCAAACTTCAGTCAGAAACAGAAAATCCAGGTTTTTATAAAGAATTAAATCATTGAGCAGGAAGATCTTGTTACCGGAAAATAAAAAAGATGCAGCATGTATTTAAGACACGAGTGTTTATGTGGACAGCGATGTGATCTGAGATTTCGGATTTTATTAAATGGTGGCGTGATTTTCTACGAGGCCAACTAAGCTGCACATAATTAGCACGGTGTCGGAGAGCACCGATGAAACGTACAGGATAACTTCAGGGTTTAATCCCGCGGACTAATGCACCAAACGGCACTTTATCTGGATGGAAAACAAGGAATCCCCACATGGCAGATCTCTAAAGAGCAATTATGTAAATAACGCGGCTGCAGCAGCTAGAGGCTAGCTGAGCAGCTTTCCTCGCAGCTAAAACAGACTTTAACCTAAAAAGTTCGGTCTGTGCTTTGACCGAGAGAGCTCCGAAACACCACAGCCTGGGAGCATTAAATACGAACGTCGTGTTTAACCGAACGTGCCACTTTGGTTTGTCTCTGTTCTGAACGGGGTTTCTTTTCTTTTAACCAAGATAATCTCGCAACTCTTCCCTGAAAACATAAACAACCGGTAGGCTAGTAAACAAACCACCAAGATACTGTTACGCATGTTTGCCAGAGCCAAATTACATGACGAACTTGTAGTGTGACGTTTCTTCTTCGTCGCCTAAAAACAAGCGAAGTTAAATATAAATAAAGGAAACGTTTTGTTAATAACATAAGTGCAATCAATTCTCCTAAATTATTCATCTTAGAATCACTCACCTCGGGAATCACACAGGACATAAAGTGCTTCTGTGCAAAAATTCTTGCAGACCTACCGCTAGCAGGCTAGCAAGGTAGCTAGCCTAGCGAGCTAGTTCTTCGAGGCTTTCAAGGCTAAATTGAATAAGAAATGACATCACCACTAAGCGAAAATGTTACTCGCAGGGGGAGAAAGAAAATACGCGAATATCCTTCTTTAGCGCGACCGTAGTTCTCAAGCTGTAAACAAACCATGCATAACCCCTTGATGACTGTCAGACGCTATATAATCGGATAGTTTACTATCGGCCATTTTGCTTCTGTGTGGTGGTTTTAGCATATCAGCGGTCTGGTTGTTGATCAGAGAGGGGAGGAGGAGCGCCGACAGTACTGCCCCTGTCCACCAGAGGACGCTTTGAAATGCAAACACACACACACACACACACACACACACACACACACACACACACACACACACACACACACACACACACACACACACACACACACACACACACACACACACGGGAACGTGTTTAGTCGAGATTTGTTCCCCAAGTCGAAATCCGCCCATTTTCGTCCAAGAAACAAGTGTTTAAAGCAATATAATTCTCTGAAAATGTCTTAAAAAAGAAAATTATTAATTTTTGTTTAAAAAACAGCGTTTCATGTGTTTTTTAGGTCAATTGGATGGAAATACAATAACTCAAGCATTTAATATCCAGCTCTCGAGATTTTCCTGCCCTCTGGTGGATAAAAGTTGTCACTACAGGCAGCGTTCATAAAGTTAAACATGACATTACCTATTAGCTTTTCAGTTTCCTTCAAAATAAAACACACCACTTAAATAGTATGGCTGGGTTTCAAATTAGTATTAACAGCATAGTTAGTCTAAATTACGGGAATTACAAAACGTTTTCACTTATACAAACTACAAAACTACTCAAATTTAATACATCTTTTCATTTATCAGTGTTCAACAATATTAAATCAATTAGCTAAAGCAGTCAGCTGGCTATAGCAAATGCCCTCTGGTGGCAACAAGGCAAAACTAAATCACCGGGAATTTTACTCTTATACAGTAAAAGTGAGTTATTCATAGGTAATAAAAAATAAAAACAAAGAAAAGATCACTCCAACACATTTGTAAAAGTTGGCTGCCCTGTTATTGTTGTGATTCTTAAAATAAACAATGACAAACAGAGAGGTTTTGCCTAAATGTCACTTTTATTCTTTGAAATGAAACGTTCATGCAAAAATATTAAAGTAAACATTTGCTTTCCATCCTAGTTTAAGTCAGTTTATTGAAGTGGGTTACAACAAAGGTAGGGTTTTAAAAACTTCAAAGAAATGTACAATTTTTAAAAAGTCTTGATAAAAAAGTCACAGTAGTTTGATAAAATATTACATTTGAAAAATACAGTGTATCAATCAAAGTACTCCGACAATAACGTGGTAAAATGCTCCTAGGAGTTTCCTGAAGGTCTCCCTCTACCTTTGCTATGTGGCTCAGGTCTCTATGTTTATTATTTACTCTCTCTGTTGTAGCAGACAGTCACAAATTGATACATACACACATATATAAACTGTTTATATATGTTTATAATAAACATATCTGTGGAGAGTAAAGTTTGACGTTAGGGTGCACACAGCCCTGTCATCTAAAGCCTATCGAGTTCAACCCAGGCTACTGCCCTCTGCTGGCTCTGGATTGTATTGCACAGGACTTCCAGCAGCTCCTCCGTGCTGCTCCAGGTGTTGGGTTCCAACCTGTAGTAAAGCATGGGCAGGGTTTCCAGCTGCAGCTCTTCGGCATGACACATCTCTTCCATTAGCTTGTCTTCTCCCCAACTTGGAAAAAGCTTCCTGTTACAAATATCAGCACAAGATCATGTTGTAGTGACGTCATTCACTCAGAGCAGTGAACAAGTTACTGAGGACACCAAGAACATCTTTGGTTAAAAGCGAAAGCAGTTTGTACTCACCTTAGCTTCTTGTGCTTTTTGTGTTTAGAGCGAATGTGGATGACGATGGGGTAAATCCCCCGCCTCAGTAAGCTCTCAACGCTGTGTAGCCCCAGCTCGAGCAAACAATGCCTGTCCTGTGTCAAAGAGAAATAATGTGTAACAGTGTCCAGTCAGCAGTGGTGAGGCCTGTGTTTTTGTTCCCTGGGCCAAAAGAAATGCAGGCTGAAAGAGTTTTCTTTTAGGATAAAAGAAAAGACACAAAGAGTCCAACACACTGTTGTTTTTACCTGAGTGATGACATCCTGTATCGACTCTAGCCGAATGCCGTAAGCCTGCTCTGGACTGCAGGAATCCAAGAAAAAGATCTTCTTATCTTGTCTCTCTGACGCTGGAACAGGCTCTACCAACAGGAACCAGGAACAACGATGAGCACTCCTGAGTGTTTGTGGAGAACATCGTGGATTTGTCTATGTAGTGCTCACCAGCTGGGCAAGTGCTGAACATCAAAGCAGACTCCGCTGGCTGCAGCAGCCTCTCAATCAGACCTCGAGACAGAAGAGATGGGGAGAAGATGACCGGTCGCTTCGTCTGAACTTGCACTGGTTGCACCAAACTGTACGGGATTAAATGATCCTCATTGCCTGGGTGGAGAAACGGCTACGTGAAAAATGCACCCAAGTAATGGAAAATGAATGTTTTACCCTGACACTTACGTTTGTTGAGAGTGTAAAGAACGTGCTGAGATGAACCAACACCACCGCGACAGCTGGGATCCACAGCTTTCACCAGGCGAATACGGCTAGAGGGCTTCTTTAAAAACTAGACCAACAGCACAATAAAATATTTGTTTCATTTAGGAAAATGCTTAAAGCAGCATTCCAGAGTTTTCCCCCCTTTCAGTAATTATGTCTGAAAGCAGAAGTCACATCGTTATCAGTTTTTACTAATTTCTACGGCTATAGAATAAACAAATGTGTGCATCTTATTTCCAGCTGTCCTTTCTACAATAGAGATAGTTGTAAGAAAGCATCGACACGGCAATACATCGCAATATTTTTTCCTGTGATAGATGTTTAAAAGCTGTGTATCAAAAATATCCATTTGGCAATGTTTCTCGATATTTTATCCTGCAATACCATTTTGATATTCAAAGGCTGTGTGTCAAATTTTTACATGCAAACTTTTGTGTATTTTCTTTTCTTTTGGTGCAATTCAAATGTCGACCGCTAGTTGGCAGCAGTGTGCAATGGGTTTCGTTTCCACCATTGAACAGTAAATCCCTCTATCATGGTTCAGATACCTCATGTTAAACATGTTACGTAACAGATTGGACTGTTTATTGAATTTTCTTACAATAATTTCAGTCTAAAAAAATCGCTAATGTCGTATAGTTGAATGTATCGCATTAGGGATAGGTACCTTTGACATTTGAATTGATTTGGTACTAATTCCCGGTACCTAGGAATCGATACCGGTACTTAACGGTACCAATTTTAGATACTTTTGAGTGTTTAATAATATAATTGTCTTTTATAATAAAATATATATTTTTCTCAATATATAACAATATTTGATAAATATCACGATAAATAACATACAACTGTTTGTATTTTAACATCGTCCTTGTAGTTTTATAAGCTGATAATTAAACTGAAGCAAACATCTTTACTGTGAACTAAATTTACTGTGTATCTTCATTCCTTTTGCCGTCCTTTTAAAAAAAAAATTCCTAATGGGAAGTTAGAATATCCGAGGAGAAAGCGAACGCACCATTAGCTGATAACAATGGTGGCAATGGAAGCTAATTTATCAAGCTAACGTTATCTTAAACAGTTTATTTAGCTGCTGGAGCAGATTAGAACGATGATGCCTCACACTTAGATCGTTGTCACTGGTTTCATCTTCACCCAATCACCCGTCGCATTTAGTAAAGTGAAGCCAAACTTTAGCGCACATTCATGTTCTTCTAGTTGGAAATTCGGAGTTCCGAGGAGAAAGCGAACGCACCATTAGCGGAACAGAAGCTAACAAATCAAGCTAACGTTATCTTACATTTTATTTACCTACCAGAGCTGATTAAGATGAGGATGTCTCACTTTGATCGTTGTCGCTGGTTTCATCATCACTCAGTTACCCATCACATTTAGTGAAGTGGACCCAAGCTTTAGCGTGCGTTCTTTCTACCATGCTGCTCTGTTTACAACTGGCTCGCAGCGACCGACGACATAACGCTCTTGCGCATGCACAGCTGTCTAGGCAAGTTCTCGTTATGAAGGGTGGGTACCGAAACGAGGCACCGTTTCAAATGACGTGAATCAGTGCTCAGTCGGTACTATGGAATTTGGTCGGTACCTTAAAAAGTACAGAATTCGGTACCCATCGCTAATCGCAATATATCGTATCATCTCCCCTGTATCGTGATACGTATCGTATCGCCAGAATCTCACCAATACACATCCCTATTCTACAATAATTACCAAAATATCAATCATTAGAAAGATCAAAAATTATTTCATGAGTCACATTTTATGACAGAGCTCTACTACGTTTTAAGCCGCCTCTTACCTGTAGCAGCTAGCAGTGCTAATGCTAACTTGTATGTAAACAGGAAGCAGATGGAGGTTCTGTTTGTGTTGTGCTTCCTTTCTGCCCTCTGTAACTGTGTTCCAGTATGAAATTCGTTGTTACTGTTGAATTAAGTTGCTATACCCTTCAGCCACCACAGAGGGAGCTGCAGCGCCACTTTAGGAGATCAATAAACTGCATAAATTCAAAGTGAACAGACTCACCATCCTCCTTTTCAAGTCCTTTTGGGCCAGTGACATTTTCTGTAACCTTACGAGCAACAACTGCTGTGCCCTGAGAAAGAAAAGGAAATGGACCAGGTCATTTTCACTGAGATAGGCTCTACTTTTGACATCATTATATTAAACCTCATTACAAAGCAGTCAGATGAAGGGCTAGTCAGCATACCTGTTGTAGTTGGGCATGGTTCCTGTCTGCAGATGCTTGGCTGTGAGCGGGTCTACCAGAGAGCAGTGCCAGTGATACTTCCCATTGTGCCTTGTATCTGTGACGTGTACGATGTTGTCACAGGAAACAGCCAGAGACGGTGGGTCGCCATGAGGCTCCATGTTGAGGTTGACACGCGCATAAAAAGAGTCAGGACCCGAAAATGCGCGGGACGACAGCTCCGAGCACAGTTTAGAATATGCTAGAGACAGAAGAGAGACCTTATTTAGTCTCAATGTTTTTAATCATGAGTGATAATAGAAGAATGTATAACATAAGAAGAGGTTTGAAAAGTACTGACTACCCACAATCCCTACGGTGTGTGTGTGTGTGTGTGTGTGTGTGTGTGTATGTGGCAGGCACGCAGATAGGGTGGGGGTGGGCAAATATAAAATAAAACGTATAATTGCTGGTAGGTCTGGTCTTTGTTGACTGATCACTTTGTCTGGTCATGACTGACTCTTGATTATGAAGCAGAATATTGACTCTGATGAAGAAATTCACTCATCCAGCCGGGAAGATTGACGCTGCTGCTGCACGAGAGGTGTGTGGAGTTTACAAGCTCCAAACGTTGGGTTTGATGTTGATTTAACCTTCTTTGGGACGTTATGGATGTATAAATGATGGTAAAACACCGCTAACGTGACAGCCGTAGCGACAATGTAAAAACAAAAAAAAAAAGCCATAAAAATTGGCAGATGCTGATGCGTTAGATGTGGAAGTCAGTAAAATATTAAATTTCAAAAGAGATTTATATATTTATATATAAATAAAAACTTTCCAAATATAATGAAAATTTCTAAATAACGTAAAAAAAACGAAGAAACATCTGTTGGTCACACTGAAAAGTTTGGGAACCACTGCTCTAAGTGATGAGTGAATTTCGTTTTTAAATATATTTTATGTGCAATTTTTAGGGTTTTTATGTTTTCTGTAAAGATTGGTATGCTGAAAATCATTTAATGTTTTGCATAAAGCATGAGGTTTTGGTTAGTAATTGATTGGAAGAATAACAAATGACTGAATTAAATAGTGGGGCACCTCTGTCAGTGCGCCGCAGGGCAGCTGTGGCTACATCGTAGCTTATCACCATCAGTGTGTGTGTGTGTGTGTGTGTATGTTTGGGGAGGGTACATTGGAACTTTGTCCCCCCCAGTTTGAAAATCCTATCTGCGCCCCTGGTGTGTGGGTTGGGCACTAGGTCACCCATAAGGTTCTGAAGAGCTGAATTGAAGTCCAGTGGGCTAGGGTTAGCCACCTCCATCTTGGCAGCGAAACACATCACGTTATTCCAGAAAAATACAAAACTGGAGCTGAGAGCGGGGTGAGCGTGGGGGTAGATAGTTAACACCAATAAAACTCCGAGTCGATGCAGCTATGAGCTAACTTATCTAAAACGGGGATAAAGTTTTTAGCCAGAAAACCAGAGCAGAAGGACTCTCTCCCTTCTAGGCTGTAACACTTTTGACGTGAGGCCGAGGATGAAGACTTCCTTGGAGCAAGCGAGGTGGCTAGCTGCTAACGCTGGCTCTGACGGCTCATCTGCTACCTGTCAATCAAAGGGACACGCCCCTAAATATTCAGAATTTCAAACTTTAATTACATCTAAATGGATGTGTTACAAAAATTCAATACCTCAAAGTTGTCCTGACTGTAAACTTGATCTGTCAAACCTGAAATATTTTCTGAACCAGGCTGTAAACATGTTAAGTTGTTTTTTTGAACATGGGAGTCAATGGGAACCTGTTCCTTTCTCGACCCAGCCCCTAGTGGATGAAGGGAGAACTGCAACTTTTGTCACTTCTGCATTGGCTTCACTTTTGGCAGGCAGAGTTTCCTCCTTGGCTTCGAATGACTTTTTGGGCCATTTCAGACTCACCCTCTGGGTTACTCTGGTGTTTGAGGGACGAAGGCTCGGTCCACCACTGCAGAGTAAAGTGGGCCACCTCAGCGGTGCACTGATTTAGACTCACACTTCCTCCACCAAACAGAATCCGCTCCAACTAAAAACCACAAAAACAACCCTGCATGTTACGTTACAGCTTTTCACTCCAGCTCCCAATTTTTCAGGCATAAACAAACACACACATACACACAGTCTACTTGCATGACTGATTCAGCACACACAGACACACCTCCAACAGCTCGCTGCCCTCCTTTAGCCCACAGTGTTCAGCCACAGAGCCAGCTTTAACATGGCTGACAAAGATCCCCGTCCGGTTCCCTCCAACGATGGTGATGTCATCGGCCAGACTGGATCTGCTGTGTTTAGGTGAGGTTGGGGGGCTGGAAGATGTTGAGCTGGAAGAGGGTGGCTTCCTGAGATAGACAAACAATGATGTCATGATGTCAATAATAATAATAATAATAATAATAATAATAATAATAATAATATAAGGTAACATTTTAGATTAGGGAACACAAATTAACCATTAATTAGCTGCCAATTAACGTGCATATTAGTGGACTACTAAATCTGAATTAGTCATTAGTAAGCTATTATTATTGCTTATTACCAATGCTGTAATTCCAACATTCCTAGGCCATAAATTAAGAGTTTTATCATAATAAGCCATTCATAATAGTTTGTTAACTGAAAGTAAATGATTTGTTGCTGATTATCACACATACTAATTAGCTCCTGGAGACCCCAGGAAGACTAGCATCTGCACTTAGGCAGAAGCTAATGAGGATCTCAATAAAACGAAACGAAATGAAACGAAAGCTCAAATATGTGTGGCTTTTAATGAAGTAATTCAAGGGGAACTTCTTCTTGCCTTTATGTGGTTAATTAATACTAAACTAATAGTAATTACATATGAACAAAATCTGACTTTAGAATGGGGAACATGTTCTTGATTACAAGTGGTGAATAGATTGTTGTTTAGGCTCTATTAACATGTGGAGTTTGGTGTTTATTTACATAAAACCAGAACAAAATATTTTTGGTTATTAATGCAGAATAACTATTCCCCTTGAATTACTTCTTTAAAAGCCACATATTGATTTGAGCTCATTAGTATGTGCATTAATAAAACTCTCAATTTATGGCCTGTTAATATTAGAATTACAGCATTGGTAATAAGCACCTAATAATAGCTTAATAATGACTAATTAAGACTTAGTAGTCCACTAATCAGCATATTAACTGGCAGCTAATTAATGGTTAATTTGTGTTCCCTAAACTAAAGTGTAACCTAATAATAATAATAATAATAATAATAATAATTATTATTATTATAAAGACTCAAAGAGGAGACAAAGCTGCAGCACTTCTAAGTGTGGTACCTGGAAATGGGAGTGGGTTGGCTGGAAGAAGTTGTGGGTGCGTTGACCAGGTCGGGGGGGAAGAGGTGGGAGTGTAAGGAGGTCCAGGAATCCCACAGAGAAGGTTCACTTTGCTTACCTGAGAAGATAAAACAACCTTCTAATGCACTGCTAAAGTGGGCTCCATGCAGAGAAAAGAAAAACTCTCACATTTACCTAAAATGTTTTCATTCTCATCGCTGCCCCAGTGGTCCGTGTCAAACCTTTTACGATCAGAACAAGAAGGACATTAATCATATGGAAGAAGGTCCAACCTTTGTAGAACGTTGGCTGGAGGCATCTTTTTGTGTCTGAGAAACTGACTCGGTGTTACAGCGCCGGTTGATGGAGTTCATACACGGAGGAAAGGGGAACGTGGAGAGGCGATTTATTTCCTTCTCGCTGTCTTTTGCCTGAATCAGTCGAGGTAAACACTCAGACACAGATCCACATCCAGGATTTATTTGTGCAAATGAAAAGTTCTGGAACTCACCGACACCGGGAGGTTCTCCTCTGAGGTGGAGCTGGAACCTGGGAACAAACACCAGAGCCGTGTCCGGGACTTTTAAAATGGGGTGGCCCATGTGGGGCCCTTGTTTATGCATGGGTGGCACCAATGGTTATGCTTATTTATTTATTTACACAAATCGTTTATTTATTTATTTATTTATTTATCTATTTATTTATTTATTTATTTATTTATTAACTTTCTAGTGAATTTTGGAGTTTCACATTGCACAATCACCATTATTTTCTATTCATCTTCTAGTTTTGTGGTGGTTAGCAAGTCACTTCTTGTTGCATTATTGCCACCAACTGGAGTTGAGTGGGACTCTAAATACTATTTATGTAAATATGAAAAAATAATAAATAATATTAATACTACAGAAACGTTCTGTAGGCCTGGGCTAGAAGACAATGTTAAAGGTGCATGCTACCACACACTATTTTTGGAGTTTACAACTCAAGCCTTTTGTCGACAATGTAAAGTCAATTTAAACTGGAACTTAGTAAGGCGGCACCTGGGGTGGCCAATCAGATTCTAAGGGTGGCATGTGCTACCCCAGGCCACTCCCTGGACACACCCCTGGATTTAACACCCTTCAGCTCAGCTCACAACTACATTAAATAAGCAAAATTGAAAATGGTGGTGAGAACTTACTCTCTGAGTTTTCACTCCTTCTGCCTGTAGAGGGCATCTGTGGCACAGGAAACGTGAGTGGAAACATGACCCCAAAGTTCATGAGAAATGTTTGACATGAACAAACATGCACTCTAGAAGGCCTTTTTCTCATCAACATCAACAAGACCCTAATTTAGCAGAAGAATGCAGCAACTCAGTCTTTAAAAACACAAAAATAGTAGAAAACACCCAGATTTGGGTCTGGCAGGTCAGAGGTTACTCACAGCATGGCGATTTTTACCCTAACTTGATTTTTATTGTTGATTTTCCAAGTTTTGTCTGAGAGTTTCTCATTTTGCACCATCTATCTAATGTGCAGCACTGACCTTATTCAGCATCAGATGGGCGCTGTTGAACTGAGGGCTGAGATCTAGGTCAAGAGAGCAGCAGGGCCCTAAGCACTGGTCCTCGCTGCACAGAGACAGGTGGGACTGTGAAAGAGAGATAGACAGATGTTAGAAAACCTCTGTGACAGCAGGGACAGAACTCTCCTACGCTCTAACCCGAGTAACTCACGCAGTGCAAGCCAGAGCTCTGCCTCAGTTGCTCGCGGCTCCTCTCTCGCTCTTTTTCCAGCTCCTTTTGCTGTTGCTCCAGATTGGCCTGCAGCTCTGCGATGCGTTTACGCAGTCGGTTCTTATCCTGCAGACAGTCGGTGTACTCCAGCTGCAGGCTGTCTCGGCTACGCAGAGCCTGATGAAAAGACGGAAAGAGACAGAGGAACACTCACCAGGACTGATAAGGTGAATTTGAGTAGGAGTTGATCGGGAGGGAAAACGATTTGTTAGATGAGCAGCAAACCACTACAGAGATAATCTGTGTCAACCAAAAGACACTTTTGAGTGCTGCTAACGGATGACTCCCTAAACATGCAGGAGAAGTCATTTGGGCAGATTTGAAAAGAAAAAGCTGAATAATACAGAGGCACGTCAAAAGCTCCAACAAAGTCAAGTACGGTGGTGGCCGCATCATGATATGGAGACCATGAGACCCGACTGGCTTCACCTCATACTGACCTGGTCTCTCTCCTTCTCCAGCTCCATGATCTGGTTGAAGTAGGACACGCTCCTCTTCTGCTCTGTGTCCCAGTCCAGCTGGAGAGTGCTGACCTTAAGCTGGAGCTGCTCGCACTGCAACTCCAACTGCACACACAGATCCAAGCCAGCATTTAACATTGTCATTCACTTGTTTTCTCAATAAATCTGCAGTGGTCTCTAGTATAAATGAATTGTGAGTTGCTTTTTGTGGAAAAAAAGCTCTGGCGATTTTGTTTCAGGGAGTAGAAGTTAGCTGCAGGAGAACGGTAGCAGAAAACGGCAGGATAGGGAGCCTCAGTCACCGCCCTTTCCAGTCGGCTCACGGGTCCCCGGAAGGACAAAAAAATGAATGCAAGTCAACGGAGCTAAAAGAGTTATTTTCTAATCCGCTTTGCCTTACGGACCGCGACGTCACATGTCGCATTGGAAAGGCAGCGGCAGTGTTCCGGCGGCTACAGCCAGTCTGGGCGTCTGGGTCCATCGGGCTACAAACAAAAATCCGCCTATTCAACACGATCGTCATTCCAACCGCCATATACGGGAGCGAGACATGGAGGTCGACAGCGGCCATCACACAGCGCCTCCATGCGTTCCAACAACGATGCCTCAGGCGCATCCTTCACATTTCCTACCTCGACCACATCACGAATGAAGCGATCCACCACCAAACGGGAACACGCCAACTCGCTGAGGTCGTTGCAGAGCGACGGTTTCGGTTTGGGGGCCATGTGCTACGAATGGCTCAAACACGCATACCAAAAGTGGCCATGCTGTGGACCCCAGGACGCGGAAAACGGAAACAAGGACGGCCAAAAATCACATGGCGCAGAACTTTTATCAAAGACCTACGTGCCGTGAACCTGTCATGGGATGAAGCCGAGGCCGTCGCGGCCGACAGAGCTCGCTGGCGATTACTTTGCGCCCAATGCGCCAGTAGGCGCCGGAGGAACTAAATAAGTCTAAGTAAGTCTTACGCCCTGGATCACACATATGTTGTACTGCAATTTAAATGAAAACAAATGATGGGTGTTTTGACCACACCAGTCACGTATTTTGAGATTTATCGGTTTATAAATGTTCGTAATTAGCACAACTACAAATCAGACATCGGGCATGTCGCATATATGACATCACCTCAGAATCTCGTCTCCTCTAGCTTAGCTGCTACTTACCACATGGCCAGATTTATGTTGTTTTTTTTCCTCCTGAGGGAAGGATTTGAAGTTCGCTGAACTACAGCCACTTTCCCTCTTTTTTTTCTCCGTATCTGGTTCGATGACGTCACTTTCGTGATGCACATTTGTAGTCCTGGACTTATTTTTACACAAAACCTAAAATAACATTTCCCCCAATCGAAAATAAGCGCTTTCTTGGTGTCAAAATGCGTCTTTAAAATTCATGGACACCATATGTGAAATCCATGGAACATAACAAGTGGAATTAGAAAATAGTGTTTTTAGCTCCGTTGACTTGCATTCTTTTTTTCGTTCTTCCGGGGATGCGTGGTGCGGATGTAGATGGGCGTGACTTAGGTACCCTAGTTGGATTCTAAATCATTATTATTCTTGGTATGCAAGCATGCTTCTGATTGGCTAACAGCAACACAACTCCTCTGCTGCCCCTGTTCATTTTGCAACATTGATTTTTATCTCAACAAATAACAGAAGCCTGAGGAAGTTCTGCCATGTTGTGGAGTCGCTAAGGCTAACGGTTAGCTTCTGCTAGCCGAAACCAGTGTTGCCAACAGTTTTTGACTGAAAGTAGCTGAAGTTCCCCCCAAAAGTCGCTAGATGTCGCATGATGACATCACATGCTAATTTGTGTACAGCGCAATGATGTAATCTGATTTGCGTGATGACGTCATCACGTTTGCGTCGTGACGATACCGGTCTTGTAGAGTAAATCAAATAAAACCCGCGTGATTTTATAAAAAAAAAATTTAATTTATTTTTTAATATTTTATTAAAATAAAAAAACATAGAAGACAAAACAGCAGCCTTTAAAACATCAAGGAAAGATGGCACAAAAAATGGAAGGGATATTTTTATTGTGTCTGAAGAGAACGGAACTCTTAAACACAAAAATATTAAGTTGATAGCAATGTATGTATGACTGAATTAAAATGAATTTTCTCTTGTAGTTTTCAAGTGCTTTGAGATGTCTTCTGTTGTGATTCAGTGCTATATATTGACCTAATAGATAATATATATATATATATTTCATTTTTGTTTGGTTTTGTTGCTTTTAGTACTTTTGTGTAAAAAGAAGCTGACCGTATTTAGTATTCAGAAACGTTACGTGCAAACTGCCAATGACCTGAGGTGTTTGTCTTACAGTATTATTCTGTTTTTTATAAAAGTTTTAAATGTGCTATGTTATTGAACTCATCATAGAGTTCCAATGTTCCTTGAATGCACCACATGTGGTGCGAGAAGCCAGCAGCCATGTGCGAGTGCGACGCTGCCTGCACGCACGCACACGCGCAGATCATTTTCTTTCGGACACTCTGGAAGGAAGGACGGTCCTGTCGCTTGAGATGCATCTCTAATCTGCAGGTAAAGTCGGCTACAAAGTTGTAGTCAAAGTAGCTGAGGGGGGTCAGAAATGTCGCCAGATTTGTCGCTAGGCAACAAGGGGGTCGTTAAGGGGGTTTTAAAAGTCGTTAGAAACGGCGACAAAGTCGCTAAGTTCGCAACACTGGCCAAAACATGCTCTGATCTCTACTGGACGCCAAATCAACAACAGCCTTCTGCAGTGACCCATTCAGAAAAAAGGGGCAGAAGACTATTTTTACATCCAGCCTGCATAAATCTCAGTTACCGAGTATGTTTCTTTGTGAACTTTGCTCTTTAAAAGTGAAACGGTCATGCTTGGATAAGAAACAGAAGATGATTTGATATGTTTGATGTATTCTTCTAACCTTATCTCTGTGCTCCTCGGCACACTGAAGCTCTCCCTGGAGTTTGGCGATGATGTCACAGAGTTCCTGTCTCTGTTCGGCAGCCTCTCTGCGGTCCTGCTGCAGGATGTCCATCAAGGCCTCACAAGATAAGGAACAACGTTAATAAAACCTGAAAAGCAGCTGATGACATCATATGATCTAACACATACAATCACTCCGGTGGAGGGATCAGAGCTGTTGGTCGGAGTTTTTGGACTCTCAGCTTTCTGAACCTCGGCACGCTGCAGCAATTCCTCCATCACAGCAGGAGGGGAGCCGTTTACTGCTTTGGAGCGCAGACTGTTTGATTTGTAAATCTTAGTAGTGTCACTCTGTTTTTTATCTGCCTCTGTCAGCCTGGTCTTAAGCTCCTCCACCTGAAGGACACAAAAAGCAATAATTAAATGATGCAAATGGATTAATATACAATACAGATGGATGGTGCTAAACAAAATGTAGCAGGTTGAATTCATCCTGGAAAGAGCCTCTGGACCTTGTTTATGTACATATTTTCTGTCATTTGGAACATAGAGTTCCATTCATCAGTGGTTTGGTTATCATGCTGCCACAGACTAAACAGCAAAGCAGCTGATTTCATCTTCACAGGTGCCCCTGACACACAGAGAAACACTTTGAACCCCCTGGAGCTCAAATGCATGCTGATCTTTTCACACCATCTATTCAAATGTTTATGTTTTTGTTGCTCTGTGGACCAGTGGTGCCCCCAGAAAATGTTCATAGGGGGGCCTGTGAAAATTTTAGGGTGGCACATCAAGTTGGTCCTTGTTGTAATTGTGGTGCCTTCAGCTGTGCATCCCACGTTCCTTCATTTTTTTAATTAAAAATCAATATGCATCTAAAACTTTTATTTCCGCATTTGAAAAAAGTTAAATTCACTGGATGCAAAAACATCCACAAAAACTATCATTATCGTATTGACCCAAATATAGGACAACCCCGATTTTAAGATGACCCCCTTTCCAGGGGCGTGTCCAGGGAGTGGCCTGGGGTGGCACATGCCACCCTTGGAATCTGATTGGCCACCTCAGGTGCCATCACACTAAATTCCCTTTAAATAGGCTTTTTATTGTCCACAAAAGGCTTGAGGTAAAACAAAAAAGCATAACCACTAGTGCCACATATGCACAAAGTAGTGCCTCATCTGGGCCACCCCATTTTAAAAGATCTGGACACGCCACTGCCCCTTTCCAAGTTAAATTATCCATATTTATTGAAAATTTGAGAACAAATACTGAGCAAAGACACTATTTTTATGCAAACTATCATAACTCGGCTGACGTGAAATCAAAAGTCAAATGAGGCTTTTATTCACAGACGCCCTCTGCCTCGCTGTACTCACTCACCCTCATGCTGCTGCGGGGTGTACCATCAGATCGCTACACCTGCCGGCTTCTCCCATTGAACGTCATTCTCACTGCCAATACATCCATGTTTGACGCCTCTGCTGAATTGACCACCGTCATCTTAAAATTAGCATCATAGCTCTGCATTAGTAGCTTTGCCCCACTTTTGGTCCTCTCTGCTCCAGACCTCTCGTCTCCATTTTTTTCTTCTGTTGAGAACATACAGCCTGGCGCCCTCTGCTGTTAATGGCATGTAACGACCCCAGACAAAAATCAGCATGTGCAAACGCTTAGACCCCGATTATAAGACGACCCCACATTTTAAAATTACTTTCTGACGCTAACCTTGTCCTATATTCGGGTCAATACAGTAAATATATTTCTTTCTGAAAATGGTGAGAGGCAGCACCTTTATTTTTCATAATGAAATATTAATTTAACTGTTGATTATACATTTCTTTCACTGGGTTTTAAATTTATGTCTTAATTTGAGAAGATGACTGTTTGGATTGTGTGAACACGAATATGATTTATTAAATAGCAAATCACCCCCAAATCAACTTTTTTGTCTGATAAAATATATAAATGCGTGTCTAATCATGCTGCAGACACGCGTAGTCAATAGTTTAGTTAAAATTTAAATTTTCTGCCTAAAACTGTCAGTGTTGTGCCGTTGTCAGGTAAAAACTCTGCGCTGCATTTGACTTTAAATCTGCAATCGCTATTGGCTAAGAGGTACCCTAGAACGTTAGCTGGTACCATATGATGTCACAATGTTGTTGTGAGCCTGTGTGTGTGTATTTGTAAGTGGCTCCGCCCTCTCAGTCTGCTAGGCAACAGCATTTGTTGCATTTCTCAAAAAGGAAGTGGGAGTTGAGTAAGAATCTGGTAGAGGGTGACTTGCTCTTTAAAGTGGGGGAGGTCTGCCCTGGGGAGGGGGGTGGGGGTGTTGGGCAATAGGGTGGCCAGCTGACTTCCATGGTCACCCCTTGAGGGCCCTATTGATGTGGACATAAAAAAGGATGTCTTGTAGAGGTGGTTTAATTAAAATAAAAACGTTCCTGGACCTAGAGCGTCACCTGGAAATGTAAAAATCAACAGGAGCAAAGAGGCTCGGGACTAACAACAACAAACTAACAATGCGTGAAGGAATCCCCTCTTCCTTCGTCCTGGGTCTAATGGACCTACCTGTCTCAGCAGTTCCTTCTCTCGGATGCTGGCTCTGCCCTGCTCCTCCAGGGCACTAGAGTACTTCACAGCCTGCTCCAGGAGTCGGTCTTTCAGCTTACCCAGCTCCCGACTGGATGACTCGCAGTCCTGACGCAGCCTGGGGACACAAACGTTCAGCACATTGTTAGAATTTCTTTCTTTTTAAACGACTATCAATCAAATCTGTCCAGTGGGTCGTCGGATATTTGGAAAAATAAATAAAAACAATTGTGAATTAAAGACAGCTCCTAATTAGAGTTTGATGTGTGGAAAACAAATACAGTCGTGTTGTTGTAGGTTTACTCAGGATGAGAGTCTAACAGGAACAAGTGAATCCACCCGGAATAAACAAACCTTTCAAGCAGCAGCTTGTCGTGGCGTAATTCCTGAGCTTTACGTTCCGCTCTGCTCCGCTCCTCCTCGGCCATCCGGCAGCGCTGAGACAGCCGGCGCTCACACAGGTGGCTGTTTCTGAGCTGCTCCCTCAGTTTACGCACCTCCAGCAGCAGAAACTGGGTCAAACCCTCTGGACCTTCCTCGTCTGGAGAGAAATGTGTGTTTTCATTTATCAATGCAATATTTGTCAAATCGAACCAACAGGGAGAAAATTCATCGCATGTTTTATGTTCAGTGTTCTTCAGCAGAGGCGATGAGTTTCACTCCACAACTCGTTTGGTGCCACAAGTCCAGCATCTTTCTGAACAAGAACGTCTTCATGACAGGAAGCTAACTTTCCACTGGATGTGTAAAAGGTTGAGTAATAGATGTGTTTTACCAGCGAGCTCCCTTCCTACTGGGAAGGTTTCAGACACGAAACGGCAGCAGAAGCGTTCCAGTTGGTCCCATCATTACAAAATCACTGGAAAATTGCAAGACCACACAATTTTGACCATTCACATGATAACAAGTAAAGATAAAGGACAACAGCACCTATCCCAAAAGACGCGTGGTTTATTCTCTGTTCTGCTACGGAGGTTTCACAGGTGACGAAGTTGAGCAACAGGAAATTAGCAGGTGACTTTTTTAAAGTTTCCAGATATTTTAAACCGATTTTGTGCTTGACCCGATCTTAGCTGAGCTTGAAAAATAGACTCGAAGCCTAAGCAACGTGTACCTGCGTTTCTGTGACGCTCATGGACGTAATTTGGGGGGGGCAGGGGGGACATGCCCCGCCCACTTTTTCCAAAGTCAAGTTTTGACCCCTGCACTTTTTAACATTCAAAAACAATATTATGCTATATTAAATTGACACTGGTTGAGCTCTAGGACCAAGCTGAAAACAACTGTTTGTGTTGAAGCCTGTTTCCCATTAGAGCATACTGTAAAGATCCCCCCCCCCCCCCCCCCCCGTGTCCCCCCACTTCTAAAGTGAAAATTACGTCCATGGTGACGCTTCCAGAATGAAAGAATTCCCGGCCAGAGAACTCAAGGTCTAGACACCAGTTAGAGAGGACCTGAGCATAGTGACATGGTGCATTAGGAAGGGTCAGTAACAATACTCAGGTAAGCTGTGGTGTATAAACCAGACTCAGGTGGTACTGAGGGGTCCAAAGTAAAACAAGAGCCCCCCCCCCATGCTTTCATGTTGGTGACACCAAATTCTGACCCGACAATCCAAAAGTTGCAGCCGAAATCCAGACTTGTCAGACCAGGAAATGTTTCTCCAGCCTCTTCTCGTCCAGTTCTGGTGATCCTGTGTGAATTTTAGCCTCAGTTTCATGTTCTTAGCTGACAGGAGAGACACCTGGTGTGGTCTTCTGCTGGAGACGTCCACCTGGAACAGCTGGAGTGCTTCTGCAGACCTTGGCTGGTCGTTAGAGCCAGTCTGATGATTCTACTATGACAATAACAACTGCTGCTCTCTGGATGTTTCCTCTTTTCCAAACCATTGTCTGTAAACCCTAGACGGTTGTGGTTGGAATCACAGTAGATCAGCAGGTTCTGAAAACCTCAGACCAGCACATCTGGTACCAACAACGAAATCACTTCCCTACTTCTCCATTCTGATGCTCAGATTGAATATCAGAAATCTGTCTTCACCACATCTAACTGCTTCAAAGGGGCATTTTGGAAGTTTGACAGCCAGAACATGTATAGAAATAATAAATTTCTTCTTCATACATTCTCCTGCAATGCCCTGGTCCTGTAGAATGAGCCCTGGCATTTTTACTGCGATTGCCTGTTTTTCTGTAAAATCACATAAAAAGAGAGATGCTCGGGTCGAGCAGGCTGCTTCATGCGCGTTCACGCTCAGGCATAGCCCTCCGAACCGTTCTTTGAATGTTGTTTCAGCTGTCATCAAGGGTATAAATGTTACAGATACTTAGGATGTCACTGGTGCTTTAGCTCGCCTAGTAAGACATCGGACTTTCGAGCAGAAGATCCTGGTTTGATTCTGGATGTGAATATTTTGAGTTTCTTTTTTTACATTAAAGGTATATTTTTTTACAGTAAGATGCCCAAATTTTTATTTGAGACTCGCCGAATGGCATTGAATTCACAGATAAAAAATATGTGGGTTCAACTTTCATTTTGGAACAATTTTTCAAGCAAGGGAAGGGAATGATCTGAGCATGCAGGCAGACCCATCATAAACCTTTGTCGGCTGTGCTGAAGAGAAAGGTACAGAACCAAATTATTTAATTAATTGGCTGTGTGTTCTCCTGCCCTCTGTCCTCCGTGCCCCCCCCCCCCCCCCCCACCCCCCCCCACACACACACAAGGGACTGTCTCAGCTGTTAGTTTTCGTTAAGGAGTGTGCACGTACAGCATGCTTGCCTCGTGCACGAGCCTACTATTGAAGCTGCCGTTACGCTTTTGGCCTGAGGGGGCAATCGCGAGCATAAAAATTCAAAACTCCGTAAAGTCCCCTTTAACGATTTGCTGTCATGTGATTAAACAAGTGCACCTAATAAAATTTCTGGTAAGTATATAATTATGTTAGGTCTGCATGATGGATTTTAAATGTTTAAATACTGCAAAGGTTTAGACACATCAAAATGGGGTTATTTACTACATAAAACATGTTTTCCAGAACTCATGCAGCCTCATTTCTATCCAGAAGTAAGGAAAGTGCTTCTTGCCCAGTATGAGGGAGCATCTCTGCGTTGGCTGTTTCCCCGTTAGCTGTGTGTACTGCTCAGGATGGTAAAACTCCAGGGACTCCATGAAGGCCTGAAGACCCCTCTGGCCCTGAGCATGGAGAATGTCCAACAGACGACCTGTGAGATAAAAAAAAAAAAGACAGTAAATAATTCACAGGGACGACATCAAACAGTTCCAAGAAGGTTTGGTTTTTCTTCCTTTCAGTCCTGCAAAGTTACAGCTGACTAAGCGCAAAGACGCGCTGATGTGAGCATCACCTTCCCTGTTATTATACAGGTCTCCTCGACATGATGAAAGACTGACACGAGAGAACAGCTTTTACACCAAAATGTACCAGGTGGTTGTTTCAACTCATTTTTATTTACAACACCTGTCCTTTAGCTTTATCTTCACTCCCTTTTCTGTTGTTTTTTTCATCAACATATATCGTCTTCTTCTCATATATTTCCGGTTCATCTCAGTGAAGGTGCTTCTTTCTTCCCTGCTGACGCTCTGTTCCAAAGGTTTGTTTTATTTCTTGAGTTTTGTTCAAAAATGCTTCAAAAAGTCATTTTTACATGGCCTAGATTACTCAAAGGTCAATAAAATAATAATGACATCCAGTGGTCAAATATGGGTACTGCAGTCCACGCTTCCAACAAAAAAGTCTGTTCTGAGCAACTTTTGCCAGCTACGGATTAGCATCAGCAGATTCCAGATGACGAGCGAAGACAAGTCATCCACAGTAACTTGATAAGTAGATAAATACACTTGGGGGAATCCCAAGACGTTCCCTGGCCAGCCGAGAGGCATAGTCCCTCCAATGTGTCCTGGGTTTTCCTTTAGGTCTCCTCCCAGTTGGACGCACCCAGAAAACCTCACCAGGGAAGCATCCTAACTAGACGCCCGAGCCACGTCAACTTGCTCCTCTCGATGTGGAGGAGCAGCGGATCTACTTCGAGTCTCTCCTGGTTGATGAGCTTCTCACCCCTCCTCTAAGGGAGAGCCCAGCCACCCTGCGGAGGAAACTCATTTCAGCTGCTTGTATCAGTGATCTTGTTCTTTTGGTCACTACCCAAAGCTGGTGACCATATGAGGGTAGGAACATAGGTAAACTGGTAAATCGAGAGCTTTGCCTTCCGTCTCAGCTCTCTTTTCACCAAGATACATGATACATGGTACATAACATGGTACAACGCCCGCATCACCGCAGACGCAGCACCCATCTCCCTTGCTCTCCATCTTTCCCTCAATCGTGAACAAGAGATACTTAAAATGCTCCACTTGAGGAAGGACCCCATCCCTAACTCGGAGAAGACATTCTACTCTTTTCTGATTCAAGACCATGGTCTTGGATTTAGAATAGTTAGCCTCTAATCTGCCTATCCGATATTAGATTAAAACTAAAAGGATGCCGTGGCTTCTTAGGTTAACAAGAAACAACTTCTTGGTCGGTCTTGTTTACTGGCTTCCATTTTGTCCACAATGCTGCTGCTCTTTGCCGCCCAGTGTTGAATTACAAATGCTGACGTAATGTTTGCTGGCGCAGACTTGGCAACCATACTGGCTCACATGTGACTGGTTCTGGAAACGGGAAGGATAGAGGACTGTAAACAAAGTATACGTCCCTCTTCTGGCATTTCAAACTGAGAAAAACCTCCCAGCGGTCGTTTGTCGCCTCCCGTGTGTCGAGCCCATAATAGAAGACAGTGTGTTTAGTAGGGCTGCACAATATGTCGAAAAATTACCGTCATCGGGATAACAGGACGTGCGATAGGCCCATCGCAAAGCACGTCAAAAACGGCGATAAATGTTTGGTTCAAACATTTCCATCCGTGTCATACATCAACTTTTTGTAAACCAGCTCTGTTTTTTTACGCGGAAGTATTATTTGACCAATCAAATGTAGCCCTTCTGATATGCGGCCAATCGGATGGGTCCGTTCACGTAATACGCCCGCCCCCTACGTAGACCCTTTGGATGGAAAGCAACACCTGAACTGAGGTAGCTGGCTCAGAGCAACGAATGCACTTTGTGCTGAGGTTTCTGGAATCAGCGCTGCTTTCAAACGTGAATGTGAGTCCGCTCTGTGTCGTGAAGCAGCTGATAATAACCGGGCTGACTCCGACACGTGCCGGTGAACCAACCCACCTCCATGTCGCTAGTGTTCCACCGGGTGGTGATGTTAGCCCCACTCTCCGGTTAGCTTCCAGCTAAAAGGCTACAGCACTCTCCTCCCAGTCCCACCCTGCTAAAGAGGGCCTGGAAAAGTTCCCCCACACATCAAAGTGATTTTTCATTTATGAGCTTTTATAACCTTGTTAATCAGGATAGTTGATTTGCTGCTGCACATAAACTGTCAGTCAGAAGCTCTGCTAGCCGGTTATCTTAAGAGGAGCTAGTTCAATTTGTTAGCTTGTTATCAGAATCAGTTGCAGTTTCATCATCTGAGCTGCTTTTTAAGATCTAGGTTAACTTGTTCAATTTGGGGTTAAAAACAAACGTTTTCACATATTTTTCATGTAGTTTTTTTTGCCAGTTTCTCTTCTGAAAGGTAGACAATTGTTTTTCTCTTTCCCTCAGAAAATCTTAATATTCTCCTAGTTTGGCCCAGCACAGTTCACTTCCCAATTGCAGCAACAGCCTTATATCATAACCACATAAGTGGAGAAAATGTTCAGTAGCAATGAGAGAATTTGCTGTTGCATTTAAGTGATGTTAACTATTTTTTAACATGTAAACTTATTTTCTGATATTTTTATTTATTCTAAAAACCCTGGTAAGGGATGTTTTTCTGTATTTGGAGCATCAGAAAAAGTTTTATGGTGGAGGTCATGTTTTAAAGTCACTGAGAAACTGCATGCATGCAGTTTGTTGTTTTGCTGCTAATACAGTAGCAGGTGCAGCTGCTAATACAGTAGCAGGTGCAGCTGCTAATACAGTAGCAGGAGCAGCTGCTAATACAGTAGCAGGTGCAGCTGCTAATACAGTAGCAGGAGCAGCTGCTAATACAGTAGCAGGTGCAGCTGCTAATACAGTAGCAGGAGCAGCTGCTAATACAGTAGCAGGTGCAGCTGCTAATACAGTAGCAGGTGCAGCTGCTAATACAGTAGCAGGTGCAGCTGCTAATACAGTAGCAGGTGCAGCTGCTAATACAGTAGCAGGAGCAGCTGCTAATACAGTAGCAGGTGCAGCTGCTAATACAGTAGCAGGAGCAGCTGCTAATACAGTAGCAGGTGCAGCTGCTAATACAGTAGCAGGTGCAGCTGCTAATACAGTAGCAGGTGCAGCTGCTAATACAGTAGCAGGAGCAGCTGCTAATACAGTAGCAGGTGCAGCTGCTAATACAGTAGCAGGAGCAGCTGCTAATACAGTAGCAGGTGCAGCTGCTAATACAGTAGCAGGTGCAGCTGCTAATACAGTAGCAGGTGCAGCTGCTAATACAGTAGCAGGAGCAGCTGCTAATACAGTAGCAGGTGCAGCTGCTAATACAGTAGCAGGAGCAGCTGCTAATACAGTAGCAAGTGCAGCTGCATGTTTATGCAATAAAAATGTTATGTTGTAATGGAATTCATGCATTAGTTTTTGTTTGCTTTGAACCCAGAGCAGACGTCACACGCCAGACGACATCAACACTGCATACTTTAGTATTTGTTCATTTAACGCAAGTAATATCGATATCGCAGTATTAAGCACTGTTATCGAATATCGCAGGTTTTCCTAATATCGTGCAGCCCTAGTGTTTAGACTTGAACTTTAAAGTAAAATGACTGGTGCTGAAGACCGAAGTCTTCCTCTTCTCTCACCAGCCTTGCTGATACGTAGCGGGTACTGCGTGGAGTTGAGCACCTCGTCCTCATCCTGCTCATCGATGACCTTGCATTGTCGAAGATATGGCGTTAGCTTGGCTGGGTTCAGGATCCGTGTCAGCTTGTGTCGCACTTCCTCCACGCGATCCCACAGCTCTTCGCAGCGCTCCTCTGACCACAAAGGGGAGGAGGTCTGCACCTCCTCCCCATCGTCCTGCTTCTTAACCATGTAAACCTCCACCCAATCTGTATCACCTGGACAAAAACAATCAAGATTTTCAAGAGGACATTAAAGGTGCATGATGTAAGAATGTCAACTTTGAGTACTACAATCCATTTTAAAAACAAACAAGTGACACTCTTGCTCCTGTTTTGTGAGACTTTTATAAATCTAATTATTTGTTGCTAATAAATCGATAGCATTGTTAGCTCGATGTTAGCCTTTTGCCTCCTTTATCCAATATTAGAGTAAAACAAAAGGATGCCGTGGCTTGTTAGAAGAAAGAAAAAACTTTGGATTAGTTTTTGTTACTGGTTATACTGTCCACAGCTCTGGAGCTTTTTACAAGTTGGAGTTGAATTACAAATGTGGACGCAGCAGTTAGCTGGCACATACTTGGCAACCCTGTGGGCTCACAGATTGTAAACATAAGCTACATCCCTCTTTAGCGTTTTGAAATGAGAAAAACTGGCCTCCACCTAGTCACCTAAGACGGTAATCTGTTTCAATGTAACCTTCCTTCCTTTCCTTTTCTTCAAGGCACTCGAGGAGTACAGACGCTTCTCTCTTTCGCTCCCGTAGAGCTCATTCTACTGAAACAGCTCTTCTTAGGGTCTCTAATGACCTTCTGACCCACAGTGATGCAAGGGACTGTTCTGTTCTGGTCCTGCTGGACCTGACTGCAGCCTTTGACACTGTTGACCATCACCTACTACTGGAGAGGCTGAGAGACTGGGTAGGCCTATCAAGATCTGCTCTGGAGTGGTTCTCCTCTTATCTTTCTGAGCGTTCCTTTTCTGTGGCCGTCTCCAAGTTTAGGTCCTCCACAACCTCTCTTACCCATGGTGTCCCACAAGGTTCTGTGCTGGGCCTCTGCTCTTCCTCCTCTATCTGCTTCCTCTTCAGCACATCCTGAGCTCCTTCAAAGGAATCTCCTACCATCTTTATGCAGATGACATCCAACTGTACATCTCCTTTAAACCCCATGAGATGTCTAAGCTGCAGCTGTTACACACCTGCTTAGACTCTATCAAAACCTGGATGATGGGAGCTTTCTTCAGCTGAATGAAGATAAGACTGAGATCCTCATCTGTGCCCCAGACAAGCTGGTTCCCAAAGTCAGAGACTCTCTTGGTCAGCTTGCTTCCCACACCAAACCTTCTGTCAGGAATCTTGGCGTGACCTTTGACCCAGCTCTCACCCTGGATTCTCATGTCAGTTCTCTTGTTCGCTCTTCCTTCTTCCATCTCAGGAACATTGCTAAGCTGAGTCCCGTTCTGTCTCGCTCTGAACTTGAGACAGTTCTCCACTCCTTCATCTCCTCATGCTTAGTCTAGTGTAACTCTCTTTTCACGTGTCTGAGCAGAACCTCCCTGAACCGTCTACAGGTGGTTAAGAATGCCTGTGCTCGGCTTCTGACCAAGTCCTCCAAACACACCCACATCACCCCGCTCCTCCTCCAGCTTCACTGGCTGACAGTCAACTTCAGGGTTCATTTCAAGATCCTGGTGCTGGTCTATAGGGCCTTACATGGACAAGCACCAACTTACATTGGTGATCTTCTCAGTCCCTACACCCCCAGCAGGTCCCTGAGGTCCAGTGATCAAAGCCTACTGGTTGTGCAGCACCAGGCTAAAGGTCAAAGAAGACAGATCATTTGCTGCTGTGGCCCCCAAACTCTGGACCTCTCTCCCCCTGAGCCTGAGATCAGTGGACTCAGTGGTCTCCTTTAAAAAGCAGCTGAAGACTCACTTGTTCAAGCTGGCTTTTGTATGACCTTCTTCACCTCTCTCTCTTTATTCTGCTCTCCCCACCTATTCCACCTTCCTCAGGATCAACTGATTTCCCTCTTTCCTATTCACTCTCTCTCTTTCTTAACATTTTTTAATCACAATTGCCTATTTTTGATCATTTTAAATATATTTTTTAACCATTTTCTAAATGCTTTTTTATATTTTTTGTTTTTGTGAAGCGCCTTGTGATTTTTATCTTGAGAGGCGCTATAGAAATGATACTTTCTTCTTCTTCTTCTTATCTTTTTTTCCCAAGGCTCTTTGTCCTGTCTGCCCACAGAGCGCTTCTCTGCATTTCTTCTGAAAAACTCTGTTTTTACTAACCATGGATTTGATAAACTGGTCATTCAATGTGATCGATAAGATTTTTTCAACAATGATAACGGAGCAGGGGGCTTCCACATGTCCACAGGGGACACACCCAGTGGGATATATGCTGGATTCCTGGAAGGAGTGGAAGATCATATGTCTCAGCCAGCTGTCCATTGAGGACATCGAAGACGTGTGGATATTTGGCCTGATGATCACTGGATTTCTCCTGACTGGAGTGGGAGGATATCTGGTTTTCTGGAAATTTGGGAAGACGGGAGCGATTGGAGGGCGACCCGCACCCACGGAAAGCACCGTCCGTGTGGAGACTTCTCAGACTGGGACGTTACTCGAGGTGAATCGTAAGCTGGACAATGTTCTAGCTGCGATACCGGTATTGGTGCGCAAAATGGATGTCATCTCGGAGAGAGTCACCGGACGGTATGGACAGGTTTAAAAACCCAAAATTGGCTTCACTGAAGGACTGGAATGATCAGTTTAAAGACTGAAGGCAAAGAGGAAAATTATCTCAGCCTGACCCAAACAAAGTCTTGTTATCTGAATCTGACGCCCTGGTAGCCTTGAGCTGCAAGCAAAATAAAACCCCCACGAAGGAATGCAGACAGATGCTGTGAAAAACCCAATCTACCCTCCCGCCTTCGGATTGGTGGACTTCAGCCTGGCGAGGTCATCAACCTGCAGGAGTCGATGTGCTCTTCGCTTCTCCCAAGATCTCCCTCCCACCTGTGACTGTACAGTAGATGAGCGCCGTAGATGGCTGCTCTCGCTGGGGGAAACAGGATCCCAGCCCCCCACCCTCCCACCCCCTCCCTGCCTTCCTATTGGAGTCTCATGTTATGTTGTGTAGTCTGAAGTCTGTTGCATATATGTTTGAGGTGTTTTTTTTTTGCAGAGCAAAGCTGCCCTCCTGGTGGAGGGTAACTCTGAAGTGCCTTTTTTTCCCTCCACCTGAACCAATCCTCATGTAACCCTCTTATCTCTATTAAGGTAGCGCGACTCAGGGTTGCGAATGACCACAGTCACCAGTTCTTGTCAAGTGTCTTGCCCATGTATGTCTGATCTCTGAATTGTGTGTACTGAAACTCTAATTTTCCTCTGGGATTATTAAAGTATCTTTGATATGATTGATTTGATTTGAGTGAGACATTAGACTATTTTGTGATAATTTCACTGTAAAATTAGTACTTGTTGTACCTTTAATGAATGTCTTTAAAGTGTTTGGGATATTTGTTTCTTAATGTTCTCCGTTTAAAGTGGCAGGCTTGCAGACATATCGGATGTCTGTTTATAGACTAAATGCATTAAGAGGAAGTCCTCTGTTTAGTTTTGTTAGCCTGCTTTTATGGGTCACTCCATTAAGTTGCATCTTCTCCTACACAAGTACACCTTTATCACTTGGTTCATGACTCAAGTGATCGTTATCAAATGAATAAAAGGTTGATTCTTGTCTAACAAAGTGAAAATGGAGATAAATGTTTAATTTATGTTGGCATCGGCTCCTCTCTGATGTAATGAGATGGGATTCCTACAGGAAATCTTCCACAGAACAACTGGGGATTTCCCACTAATGTCAAGTAATTTCTTGATTATGTTTTCCTGCAGCTGATGTTTTAGAGATGATTCAGACTGTAAACGCAGTGTTGAACTCTTTTGTGGGTCATTGTCTAAGAACTCAGGAATGAAAACACTGGAGTGACTCATATCAGCACAGATTAACACAAACCAGGAGGCCAAAGCATTCTCAGCTCCAATTCACTTCAGGAAACAAGAGAAAGTGACCAAGAAGTGGTAGAGATCCACGGCGACACCAAATTTCAACATGGCTGTAACAGTTGACCTAAAAAAAAGGCTAAAATTCGGTCAGTTTTACAGATATTGAGTTAGAACCTTGTGTGATAGTTGCCGTTGTAGCACAGACTCTGGTTTCCTGTGATATTTCATGAGATGTTAAAGTTATTTTTTCTGCTAAAAGTGTTTGAAGCCTGCAGCCATCAAGCCTGATCTGTCAGCAGGGTCACTTTTTAACATGTTAATGTGACAACCTCATTAAACCCTGACTCCCAGAGATGAATCACTCAGCATCACAATGTGGGTCTTTTGGATTTCCCAATAACGTGAGAGACAGATCAGGTCTGCAGCTCGTCTGGGTGACCTGGCAGGTCCAGGCCTGTTCAGACGGTTAGGAATCTATGTCATTGCCCATAAACAGACTGAGTAGACTTTGTTTTTGAGTAATTACATCCACATAGGTATGCGTACTACACCTGTATTCCAACCAGGACAACCTCCTGCAGGAATGACCTGTTACACACTTAAAGAGGGTCTATGTGTGTCTGCACTTCTACATTAATTAAAATACATTGATTATTTGTTAAAAAGTTATAAAATAAAAGGCAATGATTCTGTCTGAGATCATTTTTCAGTGTAGGAACATAAAAAAATAAGCAATTACAACAAAAACGCACAGTACTGTGCAAAGGTTTTAGGCAGGTGAGGAAAAAGTTGTAAAGAAAGAATGCTTTCAGAAAATATAAATAATGTTTTTGTTTTTGTTTTTGTTTTTTCATTTTATTTTACAAAATGCAAAGTGAGTGACTCCAAACAGCCATTGGAAACGATCAGGGATGTGCATTGGTGAAATTCTGGTGATACGATACGCATCACGATACAGGGGGGGGGGGGGGGGGGGGGGATACAATATATCACGATATATTGCGATACATTCAGCCAGACGATATTAGCAATTTTTAGACTGAATTTATTGTAGGGAAATTTAATAAACAGTCCAAATTGATACGTAACATGTTTACCATGAGGTATCTGAACCATAATAGAGGGATTTATATTTCATTGGAGGAAACAAAACCCATTGCATACTGCTGCCAACTAGTGGTCGACGTTTAAATTGCACCAAGATAAAAAGAAATACTAAAATGTTTGCACGTAAATTCTTCCAAAAACAATCCAGCTTTATTTGATAACAGTTTTATTTATAGCGCATTTCAAACACAGATGCAATTCAATGTGCTTTGCATGTGCAAGATCAGCATAAAACATTAAAATCAATGTGACAGCAGACATAAACACACATAAAATTAGATGGAAGAAATAAGATAAAGGGCAAAGTTAAAGACTGAGAGGTTTCAGAGCAGAATCAGAAGCAATCATTCAAATGTGATACATGTGAATGTTTTCTATTTTGATTTAAGTTACTAGAGTTTGGGCATATTTGAGTAGCCTGGCCAGCCAGACTCTCTCTGTTTAATTCTGCACAGAGACTCATCTGACTGGCCAGGCTCACGTTTGAGGTCATGGGGAAGCTGATTTCACAGTAGGTATGGTTTTATCTGCAGCTAGTAGATAAAAGCAGCTTCACCGTGTTTGGTTCTGACCAAATACTAAAGAAATCTAACAAAATGACCATGTTTGAATAAAGAGTAAAATTTTAGAACCCAGTAATATTGTAATATTAAATTATGAACCTGATTTTCTCTCTCTCTCTCTCTCTCTCTCTCTCTCTCTCTCTCTCTCTCTCTCTCTCTCTCTCTCTCTCTATCTATCTATCTATCTATCTATCTATCTATATATATATATATATATATATATATATATATATATATATATATATATATATATATATATAAATGTGGCTCCATCCAATGAGTTAATATTATTTATTTATTGAATTCTTTCTTGATTAAGTGTTTCCCCAAAAGTGAACCAGGTTTATTTGAAAAAGCTAATCTTTATTCAGAAAACAAATACAAACCGAGACAAGCGAAAACATAATAAATTTAGAAAAACACAAGTTTTAAAAACCCTTTAGCACATTTCAATGATGACTTAAATATGGCAATAAATAAATAAATCTTAAAAATAAGAGAAAAATATTATTTGTTTCGTATTTGCAGAATATTTATCACTAAGACAGGAATAATGAAATTATGATTGTTTTTCTACTTTTCAGTGACTGATCTGATAAATCTCATTAATTTGATATTTTCCGGTGAAACGAAGACACCGATTTGGGTTTTGCCTCTAACTCTCCCCTAACACTGATAAACAGCATTTTCTCCTACAAACTGGTGAATTCCAGCACCGCTAATTGTTTCTCCTGGCCTGAGTTTCAGATCGGAAGCGCACACCTCCTCCGGTGGTTCTGGATTACACATGAACCAAACTGCTGCTCTTTCGCCTGTAATTTCTTGTAACAGTTTGTGGAAAAGCCTCAAAATGAGAACTCACCGCTCATGTCTGGCTCCTGTGGATGTGAGACCTTTAATCCAGATCTTTACGTCCCGCTCAGGTCCAAACCAGAGTCACGTGTGAAACTGAGGCGTGTTTACAGACCGTGTGCGCCTGCGGCTCCTCTTTTACGCACAGCTCGGCGCACATCTTCAGCGCTTTCCAGTTAAAAAAAAAGCCTGCAGCCAAACTGTGGTGCAAAATTTAACCATCTCAGGCCCACTTTCAGGGGTGGTGACGTCACAGTGAGCGCTCCAGAGTCTGCAAACTAGTGATGGGAATTCCGGCTCTTTTTAGAGAGCCGGTTCTTTTGGCTCAGCTCACCAAAAAGAGCCGGCTCTTTCGGCTCCCAAGTGGCTCCTCAGATTTTCTGTTGCGTAGAGTACATTTATGACCAAAATAATGCTAAACTATATGTAAAATAATTTACTAATGTAAAAAAAAAGCAATATATGAAATATTTATCATTTCTATGGATTTAATAACTGAACACTTTAAGAAATCTCCACTTTCCGACTGCTGGCGCTCATTTTCTCACCGTCTTCGTTGCACTCTCCTCTCTCTCTCTCGCTTTTTTCCTCCTCCTCATTCCCTCTCGTCTCCCTCCTCCCACATGTGCTCTGCTGTGTGTCTGTCTGAGTCTGATCCTCCCTCTTTCCCGCCCCTACTGCTCTGTGTGTGGCAGTCTGGTCAACATGTGTAACTGTGTGTCCAATCGCCTGTAGCTTTCACCAAGGCAGGGGGGGGAGGGGACGGTTCCCAATGACGAGCCGGCTCCCGTCGTTCACTTCAAAGAGCCGGCTCTTTGAGCCGGTTCGTTCGCGACCGACACATCACTACTGCAAACACCAGAGGGCGCTTCAGACTCAACACAGAAAGTTTCATCAGCATTAAAACAAACCAAGGCAGATTTGTTTATGTAGGAAATTCAACGTGTCAGGATTCATTCAGTCATCCTGGAGTTTCAGGGTTAAGTGTGAGTTTAGGGATGAAACCGGGTTCAGAGATGGATCAGCTGAGCCACGACTCACCGTCTTCAAGAGAAAAGATAAAGGAAAAAGGGTTTGAAATAGTTTCATTAAACATCCCAAAAGACTGCAAAAGAATTGGAGTAAAACCAGAGATTCGCCCTTTGTCCTTTGATTTTACTGTTGAAAGATTTATGACGGCTGACTCACCTACAAAATGCTCCAGACAGTTTCAGACAAGCTCAGAACTGTGTAAATAGGTGTGACAGAAGTGGGTCACATTCAGAATAACAGCAGCTGCTGTGTCACAGTGATGCGAAGGTGTTCTATAATAACTTTATAGGCAAATCAAGTGTAAAAATGACCAAACTCGATCATTTAGATCAGCTACGGACCCTGAAAATAACAGTTACCACTCACAACCACACGTATTCTGTCTGAATGACACCAGTGTTGTGTAATTAAAATACTGCGTGAGTCCAACAACGTCCTTTATTTTTGCTTCCCGCCTGAACACCCCCCCCCCCACACACACACACACATACATACGTCATCCTCCTGCTACTCTGTAGTCTTTATACAAATACCCAGTTACACCACATCTCCCTTTTTTTATTTTTTTATTTTTATTTTTTAGAATCAGTGGGTAGACTACCACTGATTCAGCAGGACCTGTGAGGGTTATTCTGCCTCTGTGGCTGGAAGGTCTGCTCTATCTAACTCTGAAACCACACACACACACACACACACACACACACACACACACACACACACACACACACACACACACACACACACACACACACACACACACACACACACACAAAGAAACTCACTGTATTAACGTAAGAATAACGCAGAATATGGAATTACTTGTTCCAGTTACAAACTTTTATATTTTTTTTAAGTCTACGGGCAAAACTATAAATCCAACTTGGTCGGTCGTATCACCGCTCTCCCAGACCTGGTTCTGAGCGCAGGAGTAGATGGTGTTTTTGGAACGTTCTGCCGCAGCGGTGTTGCTGCAGAGTGCCCTGCCGCCGGATGATCGGGGATGTCTCCGCATATATCCTCAGCTACTCCACTGCTGCTTTGGTCCAGTGAGGGCTGCATGGCAATAAGATGGCGATGGTTTCGTCTGATAATCCCACGAGGTCCCGCCGCCAGGTATGAGCGAGGTGTAGTGTGTTTTCCAACGACAGCTCCTGCTGCCCTTTGGTCTGTGACCCACACATTCTGCCCAGGAGTGAGACTGTTGAGGTTCTGTGCACGATGTCGCAGATTGTAACGTTGTGCGTCTTTCGTCTTCCTCACCCCTTCCTTCTGCAACACAGTTCCTCCATCAGGAAGAGCAGGATCTAGCAGTGCAGGAAGAATAGGCACAGTGGTACGAAGCCTCCGCCCCATAAGGAGCGGAGCCGGATGGTAACCATTTTGGAGCGGCGCAGCTCTGTATGCCAGCAGAGCAAGGTAGGGATGCTCCGACTTCTTCAAGAGCTCCTTCACTGTCTTTACCGCGTTCAGCCTCTGCATTTCCCTGGGGATATGTTGGGCTGCTGCTCACATGACGAAACCCATAAGACTCTGCAAACGTGAAAAAGGCTGCTCCCGAGAACTGTGGCCCATTATCTGTGACTAGGGTCTTGCAGATCCCGCGACGTGCAAAAATTGACTTCAGGTGGCGTAATCACATCCTCTTGGGGGCTAGTAAAGCAATATCCACATATCTTGATGCATAGTCCACCACTAGCAGGTAGTTTTTGCCTCCTAGAGTGAACAAGTCTGCTCCACATTTCTGCCATGGTCGGCCTGGGTACGGTGTTGACAACAGCGGCTCCTTGTGGCTCTGCCTCTCCTGACAGCATGTTTGGCATTTGAGGACCAACTCGTTCAGCTGCTGGCTCGGTCCTCGCCACCACAAGGACTGTCGTGCTCACTCTCTACACTTGACCAAGCCTTGGTGTCCTTCATGCAACTTGGTGAGAACATCATGTCTCCTTGTTGCGAGTATAATGAGTCTTTGTCCCTTCAACAGGAGACCATCCTGAGCTGCAAGAAAAGCTCGTTCACTCCAATAAAGTTGCATTACACGTGCACACACACTGTCCCTCTGCAGCTGGTCTCTCAGCTCCACCAGGTAGGCAGTGCTCACTGGTAAGTTCTCTATCACTACGTCTATGTATATGTTGGTGTCTTCAAACAACTATCTATTAGTCCGTGTTTCACTCCTCTCAAGTGGCGCTCGTGACAACGTATCAGCTGTCCACAGACACTTCCCTGCCACATGAGACATGGAGTAGGAATAGCGCATCAGACGCATTTTAAAACGTTGGATCCGAGGAGGTAGAGCGTCCAGTGCTTGAGGTCCCAGTAGACTCAAGAGAGGCTTGTGATCAGTTTCCAGCAGAAAATGTTTTCCCATCAGAAAGTTACGAAACCTCTCACAGGCCCAAGTCGGTCCCAATGCCTCCTTTTCCACTTGTGCATATCTCTGCTCCGTTGGTGTAAGAGATCGTGACATGTAGGCTACTGGCCTCCACACCTCGTCCCATTTTTGGAGTAGCGCTCCTCCTAGCCCATATGACGACGCATCTGCTGAGACCGCATTCTCTGTTGGGATTGTACATCACCAGCACAGGTGGTGATGTCAGTGCATCCTTCAAATCCTGAAAGGCTCTAGCCTGCTCGATGCCCCACATCCAACGGTTCTTTTTGGACAGGAGGTCTCGCAGAGGTTTGTCTCTCTTGGCCAGCTGCGGGATAAACTTGCCCAGCTGGTTTACCATTCCATACTTTGCTCACTGTTGTTGGTTCCTGCATCCTCTTCACAGCCTCTGTTTTGTATGGATCTGGGCTGATGCCACTGACAGAGACCACACCTCAGACCTTGACAGATCACATTTGTCGGTGTTTAACGTGCTACCTGCCTTCTGGATTTTCTCCAGCACAGCGTGCAGGCGAGTGTCATGCTCCTCTTGTGTGCACCCCCATACCAACACATCATCAATATGGCACACGACCCCTTCAAGCCCCTCAGTGACCTCTGTCACCATTCTGTTCTGAAAATGTTCGGAGGCTGACGAAATGCCAAATGGTAGTCGATTGAAGAAAAAACGTCCGAAAGGTGTGATGAAGGTTGTTAGTTTTGCTGAATCTTCAGTCAGGGGAATCTGCCAAAACCCCATGTTTGCATCCAACTTACTAAAAACGCGAGCTCCAGCCAGCATTCCAAGTGTTTCCTCCACTGATGGCAGGATAAACTTCTCCCAACGTACTGACTCATTCAGTTTGGAGAGGTCAACACATATATACCTTTCTCAGTGACCTAGTGGTAGAGTGTCCGCCCTGAGACTGGGAGATCAGGGTTCGATTCCTGGTCGGGTCATACCAAAGACTTTGAAAAAGTGGGACCCAATGCCTCCCTGCTTGACACTCAGCATTAAGGGGTTGGATTGGGGGGTTAAACCACTAAATAGTTCCCGAGCGCGGCTGTGTCTGCAGCTCACTGCTGCGGTCAAATGCGGAGAACAAATTTCCCTCACACACCTGTGTGTGTGACAACTAATGGGACTTTAACTTTAACTTTAATATGCGTACTGCACCTGTTTTCTTGGGCACCACCACCATGCCGGCACACCAGTCTGTTGGCTCCTCGACTCTGCATATCACCCCGAGGCTTTCCATGCGGGACAGTTCCTGCTTGACTTTGTCCATCAGTGGCAAAGGAATCCTCCTAGGTGTTTTTAAAGAGTATGGTTGAGCCCCTGGTTTCAGTTTTGTGGCATATGGCTGACGCACTTCTCCAAGACCTCTACATAGTTTTGGGTAAGACTCCTTTAATGTCTCTATAGTGACACTGTCTAGGCGCGCAACAAGCCCCAGCCTACAGCTCACAGGTCTTCCCAACAAAGCAGTGTGCAAATGTCGAACTACATACGTATCCTCCATCACTTCTTTATCCCCTCTTCTCATGAGCAGCCTGGCGACACCCACAACATCAGGTGGACTCCTCCCTGGTCCAAGGAGTGGCTTTGTCGCTTGTCTGAGCATGGGTGGGTTGTCCATAAATATATTCTTGAACACGGTGTATGGCAGGACCGTGACGTCGCTAACTTCTCCACCTTGGCTCATTTCGTCTTCCTGATGGTGTACAATACTCTTCCAGAATGGGTCTAAACTCTTAACGCAAACTACCAGACTTCTGACACCAGTGTCGTGTAATTAAAATACTGTACGAGCCCAACTGTTATTTCAACGTTCTTTATTTTTGCTTCCC